CTCCCCGTCACGTGTCTCCCTGTCACGTGTCTCCTCGTCACGTGTCTCCCCGTCACGTGCCTCTCCGTCACCTGCCTCCCCGTCACGCTTCTCCCCGTCACGTGCCTCCCCGTCACCTGCCTCCCAGTCACGTGCCTCCCCGTCACGTGCCTCTCGGCACGGGCAGACGAACAGGCGGGGGTGGGGGAGTCTCTCCCCAACCTCATCGAGAAAGGGCGCCGAGTCAGGCAGGACAACACGACTCTCAGTCCAGAAATACCTCTGTCTCTCAGCTCTCAGACACTTAAGGTGTCGGGCGGGGTCGCTTGCTGTTCAGGAAACGTGACACAGACCAAAGGCCGCGGCAGCAATGACGGCAATGTCGACGTAAACCAAAGCAAACTCACTCCACAAGAGCCTGGCATAGAGCAGGACACAGGAAACGCGACAACCCGACACAAAAGGGACGCCGTGCAACCCCACGCCGGCCCACTCACCACTGGAAGAAGAGGAACACCTGCCCGACCTGGACCAGCGAGAAGTAGAGCACCAGCAGTCCGGCGTATGTCACGGAGACGCGGCACATCTCGAACAGCAGCCTGCGGAGGTCACGGCGTGAGGCGAGCGGCCGGCGCACCAGGGCGGCACCGGCGGCAGGGAGAGGCAGCTGCAGAGGGGGTAGATCATCCGGCCGCAGGTCCGTGACCCCGACTGGCGCGTGCCCGTGACGTGAAATGACGTGTGCACGTCGCCCCAACTGACGCGTCCTCGTCACCCCAACCCACGCGTTCACGTCGCCCCAAACTGACGCACACCTGCCGCTCCAACTGATGTGTCCCCGCAGCCCCAGCTGACGCATACCTGTCACCTCAACTGACGCGTCCCCGTCACCGCAAACGTCATGACCCCGCGAAGCGCCGATGCCTCGACCCCAGTCTGCATGCCCATCGGCCGCGATCCCAGTCCTCCACCCCGAGACCTTGTGTCTCTGACCTGACCTAGTCCGACGTGTCTCCGTGACCCCGCTACCGGGCCCCTCCAGCCGCGGTGACCCCGGGCCGCGTCCCCGCCGACTCACGCGAGCAGGGCGAGCAGGGCGCCGGTCAGCGCGGCCAGCTCCATGGCATGGCCGGTGTGCAGACCGAGTGCGGCGCGCCACCGCAGCAGCGTCGGGCCCGCGCCGCCACCCGGCGACAGCTGACTGTGCGCCGGCAGCACGCCGCTGGCGCCGTACAGGCCTGCCGGGCAGCGGTGACCGGTGGTCGGGGGCTGGACACAGGACACTGGACACCGGACAGCCATCGGCGGCCGGCGGTCGGGGGCTGGACACAGGACACTGGATACCGGACAGCCAGCACTGGCCAGCAGTCGGGGGCTGGACACAGGACACTGAATACCGGACAGTCAGCGGCGGCCGGCGGTCGGGGGCTGGACACAGGACACAGGACACAGGACACAGGACACAGGACACCCATCGGCGGCCGGCGGTCGGGGGCTGGATACTAGACAAAGGACACTGTCCAGAGAGTGACAGTGGGTGGTCAGGAGTTGCACACTGGACATCAGATGCTGGACCTGGAGCACTGGACGCCAGTCAGTCATCAGTGAGATATTTATTTTATGAAGCACTTCAGAAACTGCCCAATGTCTTGCCCACCTGGGAACATACTTACAACATGTTTTTCATAGCCTGTTTTCACACTAAACCTTCAGAGCAGCTGGTTAACAACATGTCTTCAATAGCACTCAAGTTGAATATCATGCAGCATTATTACAATATTACTGACCTTAATGACACTACTTCTCATCAGTAAGTACTAAAAAAAACTATTCCAGGCTTGTCAGATCCCAAACTGACCTGGTATTTGCATGTACAATGACATGAAGGCAATCAGGTAGATGGCAGAGATGGCCTTGAGAAACGCATTGCGCGTCAGGTAGGTGGAGCCCATGGCACTGGGCTGGTATCTACCCTAAAAAGACGGACACCACTGTCAGCCTCAGGCACACACTCTTTTCATGTCATCCAAGCCATCATGACAGGGGCACATCGCCCCGCCTTGGGATCAGCACAATGGATGACACAACTGGTAAGACAAAACAAAATCTTAGTTGAACTGGTGAACTCCATCATGCATGCACATGTCACTTCGCAATCTCCTCTCTCCAGTAACTCCCACACAGTAGCACTCACGGCTGCATTTCACCCTTCTGTACAAAAGAATGTCAATGGCTGCCAGGTCAAGACTGACAAACTTAACACGCGCCCGGGTGGCCGGCTAGATACTCTTCGCTCGGGCGGTGGGGGGGGGGGGAGGCTAAATTTGACCCCTGAGATCTCAGGAACTAAGAAAGGTAGAGACACCACATTTACAGGGTGTGTTGATCTGTATGTGAACACACTTAGGGAAAAGTTTCAGGTTCCTAGGATATGTCCTTTGGGTCAAAAAGGTCAAACAAGGTCAAGTTCCAGGTTGGTCTCCAAATTGTCCCCAGAACCTAGATAACTGTTTCTAAGCACAAGGTCATATTCTCATTCAAGGTCAATGACCTTGTTTGACCTTTTTCAGGTGAAGGTGAGCAAAATCATACAACATTGCTTTGAGTTTTCCATTTGACTAAGCAACAAAGATTATGCTAGGCTGTATGTTCCTAAAACAAAATGTTGATCCGGGCCATTTGAAGTCAATAACCTATTCTGACCTCTAAGAAGTCCATGGAAGATGTATAATGCAGTTCCTGTTATCAATAAGCTTTCAGCTGTTGTGAGGTCCAAGAAAGAATCTCAGAGATGTATGGCTTCATGTAACACTTCATTTTTTGATCAGATTGAAGGATTCCTAGAAATTGCCTTTGCTGAAACCATGGCCTTACTTTGACCTGTCATAGGTCAGTGACCTTACAAGGTTCATCTAAATTTTTGATGTCAAATGATCCACTATTCAATTGTCCACAACTAGGCAAAATTTGGCAGTGTAGCAGTGCCGTTCAGAAACCATTTTGGAAAACCTTTGAGGGGGGGTCAATTTGCCCCCCCGCCCAAGCGCATGTTAAACCAAAGTCACAAGAAAAATGCCAGGTGATCATCTTGCAAAACACAGGATGATGACTAGGGCCTCACAGAATAACCATACAGCTGTGCTGCATGAACATGGGCATGTGATCCAGCATTGCCATTTACTTTGGAGAATATTCAAATTGTCCCCATGCTGTCACATGTATCACAAGCCTACACATAAACACCCCTCCACACCTAATTTTTTGGAAGCTTCTGCCACTTACTTTTTCACAGCTTGCACATTTATTAATTACATTTTGTACACGTGGAAATGCATACATCTCAAACATATCACAGAAGCAGGCTAATTCATTTTGGACATCAACTGATCTACTTAGCACAACTCCTGAGAAAACAACCAATACAAAATCATGCATACATCCCAATTTAGGCCACCTGTAGTAAAAGTGGTCACCATGAAGCACAAGCTGCAAATTTTAAGAACCTTTACCAAATTTTCAGTGCAGGTCCAATGTTACTTATGTTACCACCCTGCCCTGATGCTATTTTGTTGATGTCTGCCATCTTCTGATCACTGGAGGATGTGAAGAATCCAATATCAGCCTCTATTAATCCATACTGCACAAAAACATGCTAGTCTGTCTGAGGCTATGCTGAACATGTCCAGCATAGCTGCAATGATTTTAGCTGATGCATAGGGAAAATAAGAGACCCCCAAGTTAAATGCACAGCCACCACCAATTTCAGCACATATATAGCAAATCTTTCCAGGAATCAAGATGCTGCCAAAGACATTTCACACCAAGATCCTAAACAATTTTTTATGCAAAAATGATTTGAAAATTCAGCACTTTTTGGCTTGACCTTAAGTTTGGCTCATGTATGGATTTTGGCAGTCTGATTCTTGGAGGAATTACCTGCACCAACCTCTAAGAACAAACACATCCATTCTATGCAATATGCATTGCTCAGAAACATGGATGCAGACATCCCCACTTCCCATAAACCTGTATCAGTCAGCGTGCTCCCTGGCCTCCATATCTGAGCCACGCCCACAAACGATTAATGGTACCTTCAGAAGCGCACGCATGCTTCAACCACTGGTACATTACCAACGTCTCACGTGCTACCTGTCTAGTAAGACCATAGCCATGCAAACGCCAAAAATTCGGTACCTTCACGAAGATCGCTCGGTTTCTTTTCTACTGATCGCTACCACCATCCACCATTTGCAATACCGTTGCCAAGCGCCGCGCGCCCCGGATGGCAGTTGCCGGCAGAAAGGGGGAGGGTATAGCCTTGAAGCGAGAGGGCATGTCATCTTTTGTCATCTGCCAAGGATGGAATTGCTGCCATTAAGTCGCATCACTGTCACTAAACTGCTGCAATATAATTTAAAGCACTGCAGTGATCTAAAGCTGCAATGAGCTGCGATAAAGTTACTGCACCCTTGCCAATAAAAAGCAAAATACTTGCATGGACATTTATTTGATTGTACAGTGGCATGAGCCGACTCAGCTGACTAGCATAAAATATACCATAATCCGGGATAAGAGTGAAATTGCGGTTGCTTCTGCTGTTTGGCTGACGATGATAGGGGCAAGAACATAGGCAAGAATGGCGCTGGAGACCAAAAAAGCGGCGCATGAAGGACAAAACTCTCTGCTTAGAAGTGAAAAGTGGTACAGCATGAAAAAACATATTATTGAGGAAGAAGCCTTAAGATCAGTGAGTCGTGTCAACATAAGGTGAAAGCTATATTTTGCTAGCGTGAATATAGTAAAAAAGGGAAAAGCTTGAGATGCCATCGATGCATGCTGTCCACATGAAGGGAATGGTCAAAACTTCCTTTGTCTGGTGTACGTGCTGACGCGTTCTCTAACAACAAGCCGGCGCATCGTGTTCGTGTGGGCTGCGCGGGTGGAAGCATAAGGAGGGGGCGTTGTTATTGAACTGCGTGAGTTTTTGCTTGACCGGTTAGGTATATTAGCTAAGGCTTTCGAGGACCCACTGTTCTGTGCCTACCTCGTTTAGGTTTTATTGAGCTTAACCCCAGCAGCACACTGTTGGGTGCAGTGGCAGCGGAACGTCGCTAGCTGTGGGACCGCAAAAAAATCGGCTTTTTGGTAGGTGGGCCGTTTTCCACGCGATTTGACATGGATTCCGCTTAACTTACCGCACCCATTTAACCCTTTCATGGCAATGATGGAGACAGGGAAATATTATTTTTAACTAGTATCTGGGATGGGAATGGCTGCCCATATCTTCGCCTGTATGTAGCCAAGGGGGCAGATGGCCATAGTTATACCATTTCCCCCTCCCCCACAGTGTTGACATTAGGCTCCCCCCCCCCCCCTCCACACACCAGTCATTGTCACTCGGGCTCAGACTTCATGTGGGCATGCATGAATTTGTGAAAAACTTATGTGTTGACAGCTTGTAGATTTCTGATCTGTATTGTTCTTTGGTCTTATTTTGCCTAGGTGCAGGTTTATTAAGGTATCTGTGTATCTTGTCTTAGTATTAATAAGAATTCAGATGGATCCAAAAGTGGTCATAAAATACCTAGTTTATGTGCAAATTGACCGCATGGCTTTATTATACCCACTCCATAAAAATTGTTAGATGTGGTGTGTATGCTACTTAAATGTTGATGTAAGTGTGAATATATATTTTACAATTAATATTTTTTAAACATGTTGGAAATTATGACTGCAACATGCAAAAGCAGGTTTTTGATAAATATCTTTGAAGTATGCCACTTTTGAATTATGAGATTTCCATACACTGCTGGTTGTAAGCAGAGAATGTGGCATGGGAAGTTTTATAACATGTATACTGAACTATATTAAAAACATTATTTCTTAATGATTCTTCTGCAAAGAAATTAGATGTCATTCTATTGGGTTTATACTCTGAAGTTCTCTTTGTTGCCTGCATGTTAGATCGAGATTGTTGATTTAGATCATGGATCTAAAACTGGCTTTGAACTTTGCTAAGTCAGTCACTCTATGCCATGAAGGCTGTGATGGGTATTGCACTGCAGGCCATAACAGTTGTAGAACACTACTGAAGGCTCTATGACCTGTCAGGCCATGCATAATTGATCATTCTGTGCCTGAGTGTAGTTTTCTTTTGAATTTTGTGTGGGGGAGGGGGTTTAGGGCACATGGACTGCTGTGGGTTATGCAGCTAATTTTGCATGGGTGGGATTGGGTGCAGTAGTTGTCTTTGCTTCAGTGTGTCTTGCATGTACAAGCCTCAAGCTCAAATTTGCATTAGTTGTAGGTCTATATTTCTAACCATTATGAATCATTGTTGTAATAAGTAAGAGGTCACTTGTATCAGTCTCCTAATGATAAGCTGGTAGTTTGGGCTTAAAACTGCCAGGAGATTTCAGGGTTGTGATGTGTACATGGATGTATGCCAGGTATTTTCAGAATCTTAGGGATAGCTTACACATGGCAGCAGTCATGAGAAATGGGATGCCAGATGTTGTGTGAAAATGACAACAGTGTGGAAACACAGTCCAAACATTTAGCATATCTGTGTGAACATGGCATTTCAATATTCAGTTAACAGGCATGTCATGCTTTGTCAGTCTCCACTTTTTCAAGTTAAACTGAATTGGCAGGGGAATTGCTTGTATTGTTTATTATGTCACATGTCATGTATGAAGCCATCATGATGGCATTCATCCATCAAGAAGTAATCTAAGGAATATAATGGTCAGAACTTACAAAGCTGGCTGGTTTGAGGGCTGCCCTATGTTGGAACACAACATCAGCCACCACCATCAGCAGTTGTGTGTCACACCTCTAGTCGTGGTGCTACATCACTCACCATTGTATCACCCTGCTCACCATCATGCCACACCTCTCTCGATTGTCACACACTCACCATTGTGTTACATCATTAACTATTGTGTCACGTCGCTCACCATTGTGTCATGCTGCTCACCATTGTGTCATGCTACTCACCATCATGTCACATCGCTCACCATGTGTCGCCGTGTGGGTGACGCGGCCCTGCCCCGCGGCCGGCAGTGCGAGGCCCGCGGAGCCCGGCCCGACCCAGCCCGCCATGAAGGTGAAGGAGGCAGAGCGGACGGCCAACGTGGCCTGGTCGCCGGCGCCGCTGCCGCGCGTGCTGATGGCGGCCGGCACCGCCGCCCAGCAGCTGGACGCCACCTTCTCGTCGACGGCTCGGCTAGAGGTGTTCAGCCTGGCGCTGGACCAGCCGTCGCTGGACATGCCGGCGGTGGCCAGCGTCGAGACGGCGGCGCGGTGAGCGGCCGACGGCGGCGGCGCCGGCGCAGGGCGGCGCCGAGCGGTGCGGCCGGCGGCCCGAGGCGTCGCGGCTGGTGGAGGTGGTGGACACAGCAGGGGCGTGTTGGGTGTGATGCTCTGACACGGGCTGGCTGTCTGGCCGGCAGGCACGTTTTGGCTGGTATGACCGCGCCAGTGCTGTGATTTCGCCGCGCTCATTCGTCCACGCTCGGCGTGTGCCCGGTGCCGGCTGACACGCTCCATCTGACCGTCCCCCGCCCGGGCGCGACCGCAGGTTCCATTGCGTGTCGTGGGGCGCGCACGGTCTGGGCGGCCAGCGGCCGGCCGGTGTCATCGTCGGCGGCGCCGACGGCGGCCTCATCAGCCTGTACGACGCCCAGCAGCTGCTGGACGGCCGGCCGGCACTGCTGGAGACCGTCAGCCGACACTCGGGCGCCGTGCGCGCGCTCGACTTCAACCCCTTCCAGGTGCGCTGGCCCGCCGCTGCAGGCGGGTGCTGCAGCCACGCCCAGTGACGCCGGCTCGCGCACAGCTACACGCTTAGCTCTATCTTGAAATATGAGCTGAAAGTCAGATGCGTTCAGGTGCGAGTGCGTTTGTGATTGGTGGGAGCAGTTGGACCGCGAGCGCACACGTACCCGGCAGACGCACACCCAGGCTATGCGGATCTGACCAGCGGTCCGTGGGGCCGGCGCGACGCCGGCTGTCTGTGACGCGTCCCTGTCGCCGCTGCCGCCTGAGTGATGAGTGTTCCCTGTTACGCCGTCCGGGACTGACCGCCGTGTCCGTGCGCGTCTCCGCAGGCGAACCTGCTGGCGTCGGGTGCCGCCGACTCGGAGCTGTTCATCTGGGACCTGAACAGCCCCAGCACACCCATGACGCCCGGAGCCAAGGCGCAGCCGTCCGAGGACGTGTCGGCCGTCAGCTGGAACAAACAGGTGTGCTCGCACGCCGCGCCGCCGCGGCGTGCTGCACCGGGCTGCACCGCGCCGAACCGCGCCGCACCGCGATGAACCGCGCCGCACCGCGGTGAACCGCACCGCGCCGCACCGCGATGAACCGCGCCGCACCGCGATGAACCGCGCCGCGCCGCACCGCACCGCACCGCACCGCACCGCACCGCACCGCACCGCACCGCACCGCACCGCACCGCACCTAGGACCGCTGGCCTGCTCTCAGGCGCTCCGAGACCAGGCCTGGACCGCGCCGGGGGCGACGCTGGACGACCGTGTGTCAGTGAGGGCTCGGCCGGCGGGCTGGGCCACGTCACGTGATGTGTGTGTGTGTGTGCTGAAACAGACGGACGGGCCAGAGGCCGGCTCGCTCACCAGCACAGCCCGTGCCGGACGTGGGCCCAGCACCTGTCATCTCGAAGTTGTGTCGGCTGTCGGTGGCGTGGCGCGTCGCCGGCGTCGGCGGGGGGCCCATCAGACGGCGCACGCCGGCGTGTCGGGTCGGGTCGGCGCACCAGCCAGTCGAGGCCGGGCCGGGGCCGGACTGCGGCGACGGGGTGGGCGAGCGCGGACGGCGGCGCCGAAGGCTTCAGGCGGTGCAGGGGTCCGGGGTGGCGCGAGGAACAGCACCCGGGACCAGGCTCGTGACGTTGCGTGACGCGATGTGATAAATTATGTCGGAGGCGCGACCGCAGCCGGCGTGCGTGCGCACAGCTGTGTCGTGTACAGCTGTACTCCGCGGCATTATCCGCCACATCACAACCGCCACGCTAGCTACGGACGCTCGGAGTAGGCCATCTCCACATAAGCGAAAAGGACGCAAAGTCACGCCTGGTTGTGGCGTCGTGATCGCCCCGCTTAAAGCGTCAGTGCATAAACAGCGCACCAACCGGCGGCGGGAAGAAGGCTGAGGCTCGCCGGCGGCTCCGGCCGTAGCGCGCCGCACCGCCCGCCCGGCGCGCAGCTCGCCGGAGCCGTGCGCCGGGTGATGTGTGCGCCGCGGCCGGCTCCGATCGGCCAGCGTGCACGGCACGCGCGCCGACGTGCACGGCACGCGCGCCGGCGTGCACGGCACGCGCCGTGCACGCTTCCGACCGGCGGCCGGCGGACCTGAGCCGTTGTTTCTCCGCGCGTCGCGCCGGCGCTCGTCCGCGGCGATGATGGTCTCGGTTTTTCCCCGTTTCTTTCGCACGGTTCTTGTATTGGCGTGTGTCTGCTGATGACGTCGTGCAATAGTGTCCCACGGTCATGCAAGTCGCCTGATCATTCTTCTGGTGCGGTACATGATGACATCCGACATGCACGAAAACGTTTGTCTGTGACGTAACGGGCCTGTTTTGCCTTACGTGCGCCCGATTTGTTGTGTTCCGCTGCGTTCAGTGTTTCTGTGGAGTGACGTTCGTCGGCGCGTTGTGACGTCACCGTGACGTGTGTGCGTGACGTCACCAGGTTCAGCACATCATGGCGTCGACGTTCACGTCTCGTTGCGTGGTGTGGGACCTGCGCAAGAACGAGCCCATCATCAAAGTCAGCGACGGCCAGGCGGGGGTGAGTGGCACGGACGGGGGCAGGCGTCGCCGCGCGCGGCTCAGACCTGACCGGCTGGGCCGGCTCTGGCAGGCTGGAGCCGGTTCTGGCCGGCTGAAGCCGGTTCTGGCAGGCTGGAGCCGGTTCTGGCCGGATGGAGCCGGTTCTGACTGGCTGGAGCTGGTTCTGGCCGGTGACGGCTGGCTGGGGCGCCGGGTCGGGTCGTGTCGCTGAAGGCCGGTGTCAGGGCCGCGGCTCAGCTGACTGGCCGGCTGGTGCCGTCCGTCAGACATACGGTCCAGTCCGGTCCGGGCAGCAGCCGGGCTGCGGCCGGACCGCCAGCTGCGTCACCACTGGCGGGGCGCTGAGGCTTCCGTCGGGGGCTGGCCGCGTGTGACTGACGGCAGTCGGCAGATGAAGTGTAAGGCTCTGACCGTGTGACCGACGGCAGATGAGGTGTAAGGTCAGCTGTAAAGTCAAATTACACAAGGTCAGCAGATGAGGTGTAAGGCTCTGACCAGGTGACTGACAGCAGGCAGCAGATGAAGTGTAAGGCTCTCACCTTGTGACCGATGGCAGTTGAGGTGTAAGGTCAGCTGTAAGGTCAGATTACACAAGGTCAGCAGATGAAGTTTAAGGTTCTGACCGTGCGCCGGTGGCCGGCAGATGAAGTGTAAGGTTCTGGCGTGGCACCCGGAGGTGGCCACGCAGCTGGTGCTGGCCAGCGAGGACGACCACACGCCCACCATCCAACTGTGGGATCTGCGATTCGCCACCTCGCCGCTCAAAACGCTCCAGCGACATCAAAAGTGAGCCGGGCGGGGCTGAGCTGTGCTGGGCCGGACTGGGCTGGGCTTGGCTGTGTTGTGCCGGCCTGGTCTGGTCTGGTCTGGTCTGGTCTGGTCTGGTTTGGTGGGAGGGCAGGATAGTGCCGGGCGGTGCGCTGTGTCAGTGACTGCTGGGTGAGCGATGTCGCCGCTGGCCGGTCCGGTGACCGGACCGTGACGCCGCGGGCACGGCCGTAACGCCCGTGACCTGGCCGCCAGGGGTATCCTGTCCCTGGCCTGGTGCGAGCGCGACTCTCACCTGCTGCTCAGCGCCGGAAAGGACGACAAGATCCTCTGCTGGGACCCGCACGCCGACACTGCCGGCGGCGAGGTGGTGAGTGTGCCCACGGGGTCTCCCCCCCCCCCCCCCCCGCCGTCGGCCACCCCGGCTCGCTCAGAGGATGACAGTGACGTACAGTGGTGCGGTACCAGCGAGCTGGGGTAGCACTGCGCCGCCGCATGTCAGTGTTCCGCTGGAAGTGATTCATCGGGATGTAGCGCGATCTCCAAGGAGAATAACGCGTTGTTGATGTGCGCATGGCGCGCTAACCTGCCGACCCTCTGCTGGACACAGCAACGCCTCTCCAGTGATCTTGGCCGCGGTGGCGCGCGAACCCGGCCGGCACCAGTTGTGGGTGACGGCCTGATGCTGGCCTGTCTTGACGGCACCAGTGTGGTGACGGCTGGTGCTGGCCTGTCTGGACGGCACCAGTGTGGTGACGCCTGGTGCTGGCCTGTCTGGACGGTACCATGTGGTGACGGCTGGTGCTGGCCTGTCTGGACGGCACCAGTGTGGTGACGGCTGGTGCCGGGCTGTTGTGACCGTCAGGTTGCCGAGCTGTCCGCGTCGCCGCAGTGGAACTTCTCGGTACGGTGGTGTCCAGCGGGACCCTGCCCTCATCGCCGCCTCCAGCTTCGACGGCCGCGTCTCCGTCTACAGACGTCATGGGCAAGGGTGGAGGAGCCGCCCGTCTCTCCGGCCAGTCTACGGTAGGTGGGCGGCGGGCGGCCGAGGATGCAGTCTCCCCCTCGCCCCCCCCCCCCCGGCGTCGCCCGCGCCGTACCTGGCGCGCCGAGCGATGCGGCCGGCGGCCGGGCGTGCTGTTCGCAGCTGTTGTTGTGCGCCGCCTTTGTGCTCCACCCAGCACCGTTACAGCGCGCACGTCAGGGCATACCACCGGCGGGTATGCTGTCTTCGTGCCGTGCATGGGGCCGCCGTATGAGGCATGCGCCTACAAAGTGTACTGAAAGTATACATAGCATACAAAGGCACACACGGCTCTGAAACAAGTGGTTTGCTTCGTGTGCTGTATGCCTGTCATGTCCGCCACGTTGTGGCGGCTTGTTTCACAGGTGTGGCTTCTGGCTGGAGAGGCCTGTGAAGCCAGGGTAGGCCATCTGTCAGAGCTAGAGCTGTGTCAGACACATATTTGCCTGGCACGTGTCTGTCAGACACCTGTGTCTGCCTGACGGTGTCCTTGTCCGGCACCGGCAGCTGGTGGACTCGTTCCCGGACATGGCGGGCGTGGCGGCGGCGCTACCGGCCGTGCAGCGGCGCACGTCCGTGCCGCTCACGCGGCCGCCCGGCTGGATGCGCCGGCCCTGTGGCGCCACCTTTGGAGTGAGTGGCTAACCTCAGCTGATGGCTTCGCTGCCGGAGGTGCAGCTGTCGACGGCTCGGCACACGCAGACATCTGCTCTCGAACACGCAGATGGCGTTTTCAGGCGTATTGCGGCGGCTGTGTGAGCGTTAATTGGCCGCCCACTGCGCCCCGACGTTGTGTTTAGTGCGATCGGGATTTTCCGAATTTCAAATGCGACGGTGCTGCACCTGATGCTGACCGCGACGCTGTCGGTGGCGTGATGTGTTGAGAGGCCAGTGACAACGTAAGTGGGCACGTGCTCAGCCCGTGCGGCGCCTCGACTCCAGCGCCAGCGGCGCGCTGTGTCCGGACCCCGCCCCGCTACGTGTTCGTGAGGCGGGCGTCTGTCCGGCTGCACCCTCACCGGCCGCGCGCCCCGTCCGCTCCAGTTCGGCGGCCGGCTGGTGTCGTTCCACCACGAGAAGCCGACCGACGGCGGCCGACCCCAGCGGCTGGTGGAGGTCCGTCAGGTGGTCACCGACCCTGAGCTGGTGCAGCGCTCCGAGCAGTTCCAGCAGGTCAGTCGGCGGCCGGCCGCGACCTCGGAGGTCCGCTGTTGGCTAATGTCAGGTAGTTCGCGAACTGAAGCGTAAGCAAGCGCAGAGGGAGGTGTGATCGAGGACGAACATGTGTGGAACGCATGTTCTGTCGGCGGTGAACCGTGGGGGGAATTCGGCGGTAGTTAAGCGATGTCTCAGAATCTACATCACGCGGCAGTCTGCGCATCGTTCCAGTACGCGCGACCCGTCAGAGATGGCGGCTAGGATTGTCTGATGCTGCACGGCGGCACGTCTGGACTCGCTCGCCACGATTTTCTGTCGCGAGAGTCGGCGGCGACGGCGGCGTCGGGTGGCACGCGTCCGCCGCGGGCACGCGTCCGCCGCGGGCATGCGTCCGCCGCGGGCACGTGTCCGCCGCCGGCGCCGGACCGCCGCCGGCGCAGGGGACCGGCGTCTGACGTCGCCCGCCGCCCCGGCCGCCAGGTGCTGCTGTCGGACGGCCTGCCCGCGTACTGCGCCGAGCGGGCCGAGTCGGCGGCCGAGCCGGACCGGCCCGTCTGGCGCTTCCTGGCGGCCCGCTTCAGCGCCGACCCGCGCGCCGAGCTGCTCGGTCTGCTCGGGTACCAGAGTCAGCAGGCGGACGGCGGCGGCAGCGGCGGCGACTCCGACCAGGGATTGCAGGTGGGCGGCGGCGGCGGCGGCTCGCCCGCTGACTCTTCGCCCCCTCCCCCCCCCCTCCTGCCGCACAACCGCCGCGCTCGGCAGCCGCGCACGTGCCGCACGTGCCGCGCGTGCTGAGTGCAGCCAGGGAGCTGCTCAGGAGGAGGCGGGCACTGGCGCGGGCCGGCTGTGCCCTCTACTTGGGGCCGCCGTTGGGCGGGTCCGAGACGGGTGTGCGGTTTGGTCGTGTTCCGTAGCACGTGTCTGTTACTCGCTTTCGCGTCTCGCCCTCGCGTCTCGCCCTCGTGTCTCGCCCTTGCGTCTCGCCCTCGTGTCTCGCCCTCGCGTCTCGCCCTCGCGTCTCGCCCTCGTGTCTCGCCCTCGTGTCTCGCCCTCGCGTCTCGCCCTCGTGTCTCGCCCTCGCGTCTCGCCCTCGCGTCTCGCCCTCGCGTCTCGCCGTCTCGCCCTCGTGTCTCGCCCTCGTGTCTCGCCCTCGTGTCTCGCCCTCGTGTGTCGCCCTCGTGTGTCGCCCTCGCGTCTCGCCCTCGTGTCTTGCCTCCGTGTCTCGCCCTCGCGCCCTCGTGTCTCGCCCTCGCGTCTCGCCCTCGCGTCTCGCCCTCGTGTCTCGCCCTCGTGTCTCGCCCTCGCGTCTCGCCCTCGTGTCTCGCCCTCGTGTCTCGCCCTCGCGTCTCGCCCTCGTGTCTCGCCCTCGTGTCTCGCCCTCGTGTCTCGCCCTCGTGTCTTGCCTCCGTGTCTCGCCCTCGCGCCCTCGTGTCTCGCCCTCGTGTCTCGCCCTCGTGTCTCGCCCTCGCGTCTCGCCCTCGTGTCTCGCCCTCGTGTCTCGCCCTCGTGTGTCGCCCTCGTGTCTTGCCTGGTGTTAGAGTTGCGTGCATGCTTCGGGGAGCACACCTCGACTGCCTTTAATGCCTTGCAAACGTGCACCAAATGAAAATCCAGTGATTCATTTCCTTCCAACTTCGTTTATTCAGGACATGCACGCGGAGGAGGCGCCACAGAACGGCGCCGAGGATGAGTTCGACTTCATCGCGCGCTCACAGGGCGGCGCTAGTGAGTCGCCGACGGCCGAACCTGAGGAACTCTTCGACATCCCGGCAGGTGCGTCCTCGCTTTGCTCTGATCCGGGCTGTGAGAGCAAAACCAATGGCACGTGGCGCGTTGAAACGGTCATGAAGTGCAACCGGCTCACACTCTGGGATGCTGCCCGCACAAGTGAACTACCTTTTCCGGTTGTTCTGTAGACAATCCGGAGGTTGGGAATTAGCTGGTCGGTTGTCACTCTGTGTGCACCTTAAATTTGATGTCATTTTGGTAGATAATATGATAGTAATAGCCTTATTTCTCAGAAGAAGAAGAAAAAAAAACAGGATAAATTTTTGATAATTCGATGAAGCCATGTGGCCGAGATCTCAACACATCTATATCTCCATTCTCCTGGTTTTCTTCAAGGAATAAGATTATTAGTACTGTCTTATCTGTCTTAATAAGCTCCTCGCAAATACACCGAAAAATTTACGTAACTTTGGTGTCAGTTTGGGCGAAGCTTGGTTAGTCAGAGGCCCGCGTTATCGTTTTAATTGACTGATCCATCTTGTTTGCTGCACCACGTCTGCGTTTCGCTGCCCAACGCGCCGCTTGAGCCGGCGCCGGCGCCGTGGCCTGGCCACTGAGGGCGGCCGTGTACCCCTGCCGCTGCGGTCGTGTGACCGTGTGACTTCTGTCAAACGAGCCCAGCCGGGCTCCGCCGCCGCCGCCGGCTCCGTGACGACCTCTCGGACCGGCGTAGGGCATGTCTCCCGGTGTGTCGCCCAGCGCCATGACCTCGTGTCACCACGTGTGAGCTCCAAGTGAGCCGGGTTGGGCCGCCGTTGACCTCACCTGACCCCAGTGTGACCTCTCCGGACCGCCCGTGACCTCGATAAGACCTTCAGTGACGCTCCGCGATCGGTGCGGCGCCTTGCTGACCCGCCTCGACCCCGGCGTGACCTGCGCGACCTGTGGCTGCCGGACTGCGGCGTGACCTTTCACGTCTGTCGTGACCCTGGTGTGGCCTTCTCTGACCTCCCCTGATCTCTGTGTCACCTCTCCCAACGTCACGTGCTCCGGTGTGGGCTCGTCTAACCGGCGGTGACTCCGCCTTGACTCGGCGTGGCATTCCATCGTGACCCCGGTGTGACCCTGCCGTGACCCGTGCCGTGACCCCGGTGTGGCCCGATGTGACCCCACTTTGACCCGGCGCGACCCCGCCGTGACCTCCGCAGTGACTCCCACCGTGGCCTCCGCCGTGACCCCCGCTGTGACTCCGATGTGACCCCCACCTTGACCCGTTGTGACCTTGTGACCACCGCCGTGACCTTGCTGCATGCGCCGCCAGGGGACGACACGGACGGCATGGTGTCGCAGGCCATCCTGCGCGGCGACATGGCCGAGGCTGTGGAGCGGTGCGTGCAGGCCGACCGCACTGCCGACGCGCTCATCATCGCGCTCGCCACCTCCCAGCAGCTGTTCGAGTCGACGCGCGACGCCTACCTGGAGGTGCGGCTCGCAGCCGGCCGGCGCACGGCGGCCGGAGGGCGGCCGGGTGTCGCAAACGGCATGGCGGGAGAGACAGCGGGAGAGAGGGAGAGAGAGGGGAGAGGGAGAGAGATGGGGAGAGGGGAGAGGGGGAGAGAGGGGGGGAGAGGGAGAGGAGGAGTGGAAGAGGGGAGAAGGGAGGGAGAGGGAGAGAGATGGGGAGTGGGAGAGGGGGAGGGAAGAAGGAGGGAGAGGGAGAGAGATGGGGAGAGGTGGAGTGGGAGGGAGGGGAGTGGGAGAGGGAGAGGAGAGGGAAGAGGAGGGAGAGGGAGGAGATGGGGAGGAGGGAGTGGGAGAGGGGAGAGGAGAGGTGGAGTGGGAGAGGGGAGCGGGAGAGACAGAGAGAGGGAGATGGAGAGGGACGGAAGGGGGGGGGGGGGCGCTCCGGCCCTGGGCGGGGGGTTCAGATGTCGGGGGCGTGTTAGGGGGTGGGTATTGGGGTCTGCAGATCAGGGATGCACCGGACGCCAGCGGTGGGACGATTACCGGCGGAAATGCCACAGCTGGTAGCGCCGACGCCTTCCTGACGACGGCGTTGTGCCGGTGCTGGCGCGACTGCTCGCCCCCTGTATGACGGTGTTCCCTGCTCCGCGTTCCCAGTCGGTGAAGACGGACGTGTCGCGGCTGGTGTTCCCTGTGACATGTGACGATGTTTCCTGTCCCGTGTATTCCCAGTCGCTGAAGACGGACCTGTCGCGGCTGGTGTCGGCGCTGGTCAGCCGGGACTGGTCGACGGTCGTCTCCCGCTGTGACCCGGGCTCGTGGCGCGAGGCGCTGGTGGCCGTGCTCACCCACGCGCCGCCCGAGCAGACGGCCACGCTCTGCGGTCAGTCGACGCCGGCGCCGCGGACCGGGGGAGCCGCACCAGTCAGAGCGGGAGGGGAAGATGCTCCGGGACTGGCGCGAATGGTCATTCCCCACCCCATCGTCACTGTTTTCTTTGTTCTGGGTTTTTTTTTTGCTAACTGCATGGTTGGGCGAATCCGCCAAGAACACGGACACTCAGGGGGATAATTTATGTAGCGCGTTCTCCGTTGGAGTCATAGTGCAGGCCCTATGAAAAGGCACTCATGATGCACTTAGAAACAAAGATACGTGGTTAGGAAAATTATAGGCAACATTTTTGCTAGGTTAATGTGCCCAAATGTGCCCATGGTGTGTCTCCGCACTCCAATCACCATGTTTCACATGGCAGGTGCGGACGCGGTTGCGAGTCCTGTCTGTGTGTCCCCAGTCTGACCCGTCTGACTGCCCGTCTGACCTGTCTGACCGCCCAGTTTGACCAGTCTGACCACCTGGTCTGACCGCCCAGTCTGGCTTCCCAGTCTGACCGTCCGTCTGACCGCCCGTCTGACCAGTCTGACCCGTCTGACCCGTCTGACCAGTCTGACCGCCTGCTTGACCGCCGCCGCCCCGGCAGAGGCGCTGGGCGCGCGGCTCGAGCTGCAGCACACGGAGGCCATGTGGACCAACGCGCTGCTCTGCTACGTCTGCGCCGGCAGCGTGGACCGGCTGGTCGAGTGCTGGGAGCGCACGCGGCCCGACGCCACCTCGTCGCGCGCCCTGCAGGTGGGCCGGCCGGGGCCGCGCGCCGCCGGCTAGCCACGCGGTGGTCGCCTCTGGATGCGTGTTTGTGGCCGAGACCAGGGCCTTTCCTTCAGCAGCTGAACGAAGGGGGGGGGGGGGCAGCGGGGTACGCAGGGAAGCCTGCCGTAGCGGAGGCCTGATGTGGCCGTCTTCCGCCGGGCGCCGCTGCACGGCTCGCCGGTCAATTCAAGCGGCGGTGTCGTGACGTTTCACGTGATGCGTCTGGGCCCCTGATGGATTGGACCGTGACGTGACGTGACGTGACGTGACGTGACGCGCCCGGCGGGCTGATGGAGCGCGTGATGGCGTGGTCGTGACGCCGCCGGGCTCGCCTCTCTGGCAGGACCTGATGGAGCAGGTGATGACGCTGTACCGGGCTAACCAGCTGGCCGGCGCCGCGACGCAGCTGACATCTGGCGTCATGCAGCGCAAGCTGCTGCGCTATGCCGAGCTCCTCACGTCGCAGGGCAGCCTGGAGACGGCGCTGGGCTACCTGGCCGATTGCATGGACGTAAGTGAGGCCGCTTCCAGTCGGGAGAGGGATGTCTACAGGCTCGGACAGCGTTTGGGACTGGGCCCCGGCTGGCAGTGCGAGTCGTTGTGTGTCACCTCTGTTCTAGAGTGTCCGAATTTCTCATGCAGGAACCCATGATTCTCACTTCAGTCTCAAGCAACGTCACTGCGTTGAGATGTTCGCATATGACAGCCCACGCCGCCCACTTTGTCCGGGGACTGCCGGCGCCGTGGCCGGGTCCCGCGTGACTGGGCGGTATCCCGGCTGCCGGCGCCGTCGCCGCCGCCGCGTTCGCCGGCCCGTCCGACCGCGCGACGTCGGCCGCGGCGCTGACCCGCGCGCCACCTGTCGGCAGCCGGCGGCCGTGGCGCTCTGTGAGCGCGTGCAGCAGACGCTGGCGCCGGCGGCGCCGGCGCAGCGGCAGCCGGCGCCGGCCGCCCGCTTCTCGGCGGCCGCCACGCGCGGCTACCAGGTCAGTCTCAGCGGGCGCGAGGTCACCGCGGGTCGCTCGGCGCCGCTCCCGCCGTGCGAGCGCGGGCTCTCAGCGGCGCGGTGCTGTCCGTGTGCCAAGCGGTGCCAGTCCGGGCGCCTGTGCCGGCCGAGGCTGCGCAGGCTGCGGGACGGGGCGCCGTCGCCGCTGCAGCAGCGCGCCTGCGCTCGTCGCGGGGGTGTGGATGCGTGCCAGGGCCGGAGCTTGCCACTGTGTGGTCCTGCTCAGCTGTGTTTTCCTCAGCTCTCTCTCTCTCTCTCAGACGACGAGGTCAGTTAGCGGTGTGGTCATCAGCTCTCTCAGACAGCCAGGTGTTCACGGATATTAGTCGTCGCACTCTAGGAACCTGAGTGATTGCCGTACAATGAGACTGAGGACGTCACAGTCACTGGCAGACCATGGCGTCGTGTCCTGTTGTGTGATGTGCGTGGCGTGGTGTGACTCGGCCTCGGCCGGTACGGTCCGGTTACGGCTGGTATGGTCCGTTCACGGCCGGTGCAGTCCGGTCTCGACCGGTATGGTCCGATTACGGCCGGTTGTAACTAGCCGCCGCCGCCAGACGCCCGCCGCGGTGCCGTCTGCGATGCCGGTGCGCCCGGCGGCGCCGGTGCAGCCGCACCAGCCGCACCAGCCGCACCAGCCGGCGCCGGTGGCTCCAGTGACGCCGCTCATGCCCACGCTGGTGCCGGCCGCTCAGGTGCGTGACGAGCCGCTAGTGCGCCCGGCACGGTCCGGGCCGCTCACCGCCGTCTCGCGCGCCGGACCGTGGTATACGTGGCACCACGGGTGAAGAGTTCCTCCCCAAATGTTCCCCGTCTCCCCCTCCCCCCCCCCCCCCACACACTCGGCCATACCATGGCAACTCCAGTGCTGAAAACTTTGGGGAGGTGCCACACGGAAATCATTGGCCCTTCTTCCATCAAAGTATGCGTCTCGCCCCCAGTCGCCCCCAATACGTTACACGAATCGCCATCCAAACGCGGCGTTCGTCGAGAGACGAGCCCCGCAATTGACCTGGCCGTCTGCCGCGTTACACCCGTTTTTGGCCTTATTGCTGGTGGTGATGCGCTGGCAGTGATGACGATAAATGAGTGCGTGGGTAGTGGCGATGATGGCAGTGGTGTCGTAGCTGCCAGCTTAGCGAAGCGTTTTCGTCAAGACATTTACCATCAATAGATATGGATTTGATGATGATTTAGGCTTGCGGGCGCACTGACCACAACGGTCATATGGCATAGATATGAATTTCGGTATTCTGATATGCGTTGTACGATACGAACCCTCAGTACAGTCAGCGCCTGTGACGTTCGTCGCGCCGGTGACTGTAACGCCTGAGTGTTTTCGCGGGCAGCCGACGAGCATGGCGGCGCCACCGGCGGCCGGCGGCGGCGCGGCCGGCGGCTACCGACTGGGCGGACGTCGCCAGTACGCCGCCGACCCCAGCGTGGCGGGCGCCCCCGGCTACGGCGCCAGGTGAGCGGCGGTCGGAGACGGCGGGAGGAGAGGGGAGAGGAGAGGGGGGGGGGGGAGACGGATCCGGGCCTCGGGGGAGACAAGGAGAGAGGAGAGGGAGTGAGACAGAGACCCGGGCCTCGGGGGGAGACAGGGCCCCGGGGCCTCGGGGGGAGACAGAGAGAGAGGAGAGGGAGAGGGACCCGGGTTTCTTGAGGGAGACAGCGCCCTGGGCCCCGGGAGGGAGACGGGGAGCCGGACACGGCGGCTTCGTTTCTCTTCGTCTCGCCAGTCGCCGCCGTTCCGTGCCGCTGGTGTCCCGTGTCGTTATTTGCTGTCGTGGCCTGTCCTAGCCATTGGCGCTTCTGCGGGTCTCTCACAGTCTGCTAATCTGTGTGAGTCTCTCAGGCGGGGTCGTTGCCAGCGTCTGGGACTGGGACTGTGTGTCCCAGCTGTGTTGCGACTATCCGAGCGTGGTGGCGCGAGCTGCCGGCCGGACCCGGCCGGCCCGGCCTGACGCGCCCCGGCCGGCGTGTTTCAGCATGGGTCAGATGGTGGACCCCGGTGTGTCCATGTACGGCCAGGTGGCGGCGCCGGCATCCAGCCTCTACACGCCCCAGTACAGGTCGGTGACCCCCGCACGCCCCCGCCCGTTCCAGTACAGGTCGGGGACCCCCGCACGCTCCCGCCCGCCCCAGCGCAGGTCGGTGACCCCCGCACGCCCTCGCCCGCTCCAGTACCGGTCGGTGACCACCGCACGCCCGCGCCCGCCCCAGTGCAGGTCGGTGACCCCCGCACGCACTCACCCGCCCCAGTACAGGTCGGGGACCCCCGCACGCTCCCGCCCGCCCCAGCGCAGGTCGGTGACCCCCGCACGCCCTCGCCCGCTCCAGTACCGGTCGGTGACCCCCGCACGCCCGCGCCCGCCCCAGTGCAGGTCGGTGACCCCCGCACGCACTCACCCGCCCCAGTACAGGTCGGGGACCCCCGCACGCCCCCGCCCGTCCCAGTACAGGTCGGGGACCCCCGCACGCTCCCGCCCGCTCCAGTGCAGGTCGGTGACCCCTGCGCGGCCGGCCAGCGCTCGCTGTGGTACGGCGCGTGTTTGAGGGCCCCGTAGTGGCCCGGCCGTCTGTCCACTTCGAGAGTCAGCGGAAGAAGCGGACGTTGTTTTTGTCCAACCCGGCAAAATCCACGCTTCTGACCAAATCTATCAGCGTTTGCCGTACACATATTCACAACAGGAATCCATCAAGGCATGCCATGCCTGACTCGAAGAGGCTTTGCCGCTCATGCCAACGCACAACGCAGTCCTCAAGCTTAAGCCCTCAAGCGTATCGGAAAAGATGCATGTGGTCTCGTTGCTTGTCGTAGTTCCGCTGACCGCCGTCCGCTGACCGCGCTGGAGCGCCAATACCAAGTAGCCAAACGCCGCGGCGTTGTGTTTCAGTGATCACCAGCAGCAGCCGGGGCAGTACATGCAGGGAATGCCGCAGGAGCCGGCGGTCAGCACCTTCACCCCGGCACCGGCGCCCACCGGTCAGTGGTTCCGGCCGACAGCCAGCAACTGCCGCCTGTGGTGTGTCGCCCGCCGCTCGGCGTCGCCGTGGTGTGTGGCCCGGCTGTGTGCGGCTGTGTGGTCGTGTGGCTTTGTGTGACTGTGGCTGTGTGGCTATGTGGCTATGTGCAGCTCTGTGACTGTGCCGCTCCGTGTGACTCTTTGTGGCTCTCTGCGGCTCTGTGCGGCTCTGTTCGACTCTGTGGCTCTGTGTGGTTGTGCGGCTCTGTGCGGCTGCACTCAGCTGTGTGGCTCTGTCTGTCTATGAGTGGTTCTGTGCGGTCAGCTCTGTGAGGCTCTGTAGCTCTGTGTGACTCTGCGGCTCTATGCGGCTCTGTTGGACTCTGTGAGCCTCTGTAGCTCTGTGTGACTCTGTGTGGCTCGCTGCGGCTTTATGCGGCTCTGTGTGTCTATGTGTGGCTCTGTGAGGCTCTGTAGCTCTGTGCGGCTGTGTGTGGCTCTGAACGGCTCTGCAGGGCCGCCGTGTGACGGCCGCTCCTTCTGCCCGCCGCAGGCGCCGAGTACGGCGCGCCGCCGGCCCCCGGCCTGGCGCCGGCGGTCAGCAGCGGCCCCGGCTGGAACGACCCGCCGCCGCTCCGGTCCTCGTCCAGGAAGGTGGGTCACGCGCCCGCCAGGGAGGATCACGCCCGCCGAGGAGGATCACGCCCGCACCTACCTGAGGACGCATATGTCGGGTAGCGCGCCAGTTAGCGTGCGGCTTTTGCGGGGTTTTCAAATGGGGGGGGGGGGGGGGGGGGGCGCTAGCATGTGCCGGGCGATATCCTGCCGAGCCGTTGCAGTTTGAAAACGGCTCGCGACTCGCGCGCTTTCTCACACACCGTCGGACCTCAGCACGCCGCATTCTCTCCAGCCGGGGTGTGAGATGTGCAGGCGCCGGACCTCCTGGATAGCGTGTTGTTGTGGGATGGCTCATTAGTTGTGCCGCTACTTGGGAGATATGTCGAGCTTTTATCAGCGAGCTGTGTGTGATCCTAACCGTGCGTTGGTGCGCGATTGGCGCTGATTGTTGCATTGGTGCGCGATTGGCGCTGATTGTTGCGTTGGTGCGCGATTGGCGCTGATTGTTGCGTTGGCGCGCGATTGGCGCTGATTGTTGCGTTGGTGCGCGATTGGCGCTGATTGTTGCGTCTGTGTGGCTGTGCTGACGGCCGGCTCGGTGCCGTGGCGGCGACGCTCGTCGCGTCCGCCCGCCTCCTGACGCCGGGGCCGGGCCCGGGACTGAGAGCGGCGTCCGCTGCCGGCAGGTCGCCACGTCCACCGTGTCGATGCTGCAGACGGTGACGCAGCCCATCTACAACCCGGCGGAGATGATGCCGGCCGCGCCGGCCGGCCAGTACGGGGTGAGAGCGGGGCGAGAGAGAGAGAGAGAGAGAGGGGGGAAGGGGGGAGGGGGAGAGGGACGGGAGCGGGAGTGGGAGAGACACAACAAACGAACACGTGTGAGGGTGGACCTCACCAGCCCACCAGGTCGCCAGTCCGTCCTGTGACGAAAGCCACTCTCAGCCGGTCTCAGTATTCACGGTGTTGAGCTTTCTTACGACTGATTTTCACCATCAGTATTTTTGACATTATTTTTACTCGTCCCTCAGTGTAAGTGCACCAGTGATACCTGATATTAGTTCACAACACACGTATCGCGTGACATCGCGGAGAGAGATAACCATCATCGAGTGGGCGCGAAATGGCCCGACACTGACACGCCCTCTAACACCAAATCACCATCATTAACCTCTCGCCGGATGTTTAGCCATACCGTGGCCACCTGTCGGAAGAATGTGTCATTATGAGTTGCTTGGTCGCCGACAGATGGCGGGCGGCGCGTACCCGCCAGCTGGCGGCGCGTACCCGCCGGCCGGTGGCGCGTACCAGCCGGCGGCGCCGGCTCCGTCTGGCCAGTTCTCGCCGTACCAGCCGGCGGCGGCGGCGCAGCAGCCGCAGGCGGCGCCCACTCCGCCGCCGCCTCAGCCAGAGCCGCCGGTGCCCAAAGGTAGGCGGAGGCGGCCGGCGACCACCGCGGCTGCGGCGGAACAGGCAGTCGCCGGCCGCAGCCGACCTCTCCGCCTGGCTCGCCTGCTCCCGCTGCGTCCTCGGGAGGCGCCGGGCCGGGCGCGTGCGGTGCTGTCGGTCACCGGTCGGCGTCGCCCCCCCCCCCCTCCCCCCCCCCCCCCCTGTGCAGTCCCGCCAGAGCAGCGGGACTGACCACGCCTGAACACAGGTCCCCGGCCGGGGCCGGGGCCGGTGCTGGTGGTCACTCTGGACGGCCGCGGCGCCGCCCGGCGTCTCGCTCAGCCGTCAGCGCACAGTCCCGCGGCGTGACGATAACGCCGCATCAGTTTCGATCAACGGCTACAGCATCCCTTTTATCGAACGTATTGGGCCGAGTCGGGGAACATCAGCGGAGGTAGTCAAGTCTCTGTCATCCGAGCGTCAAGCCTTGAAATCGGGCACCCCGATGGAACATTGAACAGCTCGATGGCGGTGCTGCAGCGTATGTGTACCGCGGTAGCTTCTTGAGCTCCATACGGGGGGGGGGGGGGGGGGGGCGTGCGTGCGACTTGTCATAGTCTGTGAATTCAATGCCTATGTCGTAAGCGCTTTCAAAACGGAGACTCTCGCCTCCGCGAGCTGTTGGCTGCCCGCTGGACGCTTCGGTAGAAGGCAGCCAGATCGCAGATCCGTCATACAGTCCCGTTATACGGCCCCGACATACAGTCATCATACAGTCGTCGCACAGTCTTGTCATGAGTTCCGGTATGCAGTACCGACATACAGTCATCATACAGTCGTCGCACAGTCTTGTCATGAGTTCCGGCATGCAGTGCCGGCATACAGTCATCATACAGTCTGCGTACAGTTTCGTCATAGGTTCCGGCATACAGTACCGACATACAGTCATCATACAGTCGTCGTGCAGTCTCGTCATAAGTTCCGGCATACAGTCCCGTCGTGCAGTCCCATCATGCAGTTCCGTTATGCGATCCCGGCGTACTGTCCCGTCATACGGATCGCCCGGTCAGCTTCAGCTGAGGCCGGCGTCGCGTGACGGGCGGCGTCGTGAGCCTGTCCACTCTGTACCGGTGCTCGTGTCCGCGCCCGGCAGGACCGGTGCCGGAGGAGCACGCGGTGCTGCAGAGCACGCTGGACCGGCTGAGGGACGCGTGCGCCGCCGCTGCGCCGCCCGCGCAGATCCGGCGTCGGCTCGACGACGTCTCGCGGAAACTGCAGGTCGGTGCCGGCCGGCGGCGTGTCGAGCTGTGGTCCCCACTGTCACCCGGGATGCCGGGTCAGGCTCGGGAGGAGGAGGGAGTCCTGGTGACAGATGCCTGGTGAGAGGACTGCCGTGTCGCCCTTTGTTCTTGGGAATTCCTCGTCGCGCTCGTCCGCCCCGTGTGTCTCAGGTGCTGTATGACCTGATCCGTGTGACCCCGTGTGTCTCAGGTGCTGTTTGACCTGATCCATGTGACCTTATGTGTCTCAGGTGCTGTATGACCTGATCCATGTGACCCCGTGTGTATCAGGTGCTGTTTGACCTGATCCATGTGACCCCGTGTGTCCCAGGTGCTGTATGACCTGCTGCGCGCGGGTCGCGTGTCGGCCGCCACGCTGGCCGGCCTGCACCAGCTGGTGCAGTACCTGCAGTACGGCGACCTGCAGTCGGCCCAGCAGGTGGTGCAGAACGTGGTGGCCGCCTCGAACTTCGCCGAGGTGTCCGGCTTCATGCCGGGCGTCAAGAGCCTGGTGCAGATCGCCGGCCAGCTACAGGTCCGCTGACCGGTGGCGTGTGTCACGTGACGCGTGTCACGTGTCGTGTGGCATGTGGCATGTGGCGTGTTACGTGTGGGTCATGTGTCGCGTGTCATGGCATGTGGCGTATGGCATGTTTGTGTGGCGTGCGGCATGTTTCGTGCGGCATATGACGTGCGGCGCGTGACATGTGTCTGACATTTCGTGCGGCATGTGTCGTGTGGCATGCGGCATGTGTTGCGTGGCACGCGCCGTCGTTTGTATCATCCGGGCCGACTCGCCGCTCCCGGCAGCGCCGCCTCCGCCAGCATCGAGACGCTTGCGCCGCCGTCACTGAGCGTTGACACGTTTCTAGATGTGTGCAGATGATTGGCCAGACGGGCTGAGCGCCGGTTTGGCGGGTGGCCTGAGCCTCTCGGTGTCCGTGTCACATGCGGTCGGTCCATTCATCTGCGCCATGACCGCCGCGTGACGGATCAGTCGGCGGTGACCAGCGCACCTAAACTTTGGCTCAGGATTGGTGCTTTGTGTCGTCGTCTTGTGTGTGTCACATCTCCCACCTCGGGATGCCGCCGTCCGCAGCACCCTTCTATCGCGCGTTTCTCCGTATTTGAGTGCTCTTCTCTCGTTGCCGCAATGGGGGTCACGGTGCAAAGACGCTGAGTCTCGTTATCGCAAAGTCTCGCAAAGTCACGCAAAGTCTCGTTATCTGCTTCGTTGACAGCTACTGAGCGCCAAATGAAGACCGTGTGATCATAACCAGCGCTGCCGCGGTGCGGGTACCGATATAGCTCGGCGTTGTTAGGAGAACGAGGAGTATCCCCGCGTACTAAACACATTTAATCGTTGGGCTTGGAAAGGCATGCTTGAGCCGGATCCAGGCGTGTGAGCACTGTCGCATCGTGTTGAAGACTGTGGATGTCGCTGGCGCGGCCATTGGCCACACAAGTATCGGCAGATTCGGATATAAGTACGCGCGCCATCTGTTTCAGGTCCATATCTAGCATTAGAAGAATCAGTATCGGTGCCAGGAGGTATGACCTCAAAATGACGTCACCTACGGTGGACACCCGCGATATCTGCAGCAGCCGGGGACGCCGCTGTGACGTCATCCGACTGCGCTGCGTTTTGACCCGGCGGCGTTGTGTAACAGGACGCGCGAGTGCGCTAATCATTGTGCCTCTCCATACCGCAGACATTCTCCAACGGGTGGTCTACCTATGAGTCGCGCTATCCTTTCCAGATTATTGTTCGGTTGCCAAATCTGTCCGGAATCAGGCCTGCGCCACGGCGATCCGCGGCGAACTGTACGCGCTCGCCGCGCCGATCCGCGGCGAGCTGTGCGCGCTCGCCGCGCCGATCCGCGGTGAATTGTGCGCGCCGGACGCCGGACGCCGGCGGCGTTTTGCGGGATGTGGCTTCTGCGGACTAACACTCGGCATGTTGGCCCGGACGGCGCATGCGCAGCAGCGCCGGGCGGCCCAGCGCTCGTTCGTTGTTGGTGTCTGGCCGCGCTCGTGTTCACTGCCGCGAGGTGTTCCCGCCGGCCGCCAGGCGGCGCGCGCGCAGCCTGTGTGTGGGTTCGGTGTCTGGGAGGGAGGGAGGGAGGAAGGGCTTGTTCACGGGCAGCCGTGGCTGACGGGCCACTTCGGCGCTGCTGACATTTCTCGCTCGCTCGCTCCGATACACGGGGGCGTTGCTCGAGACGCCCGCTCGCGTCCTGCTGGCGGCAGCTGACCTCCCAGGATGCCGCCGCCGCTGCTTCCTCTTGGCTACGTTGCGTGCCTGCGCGGCGCACGTGACGGCGGGCGTCACGCGCCATCGCCTTCACGCGGAGGGAGGTCAGAGGAATCCGCACGGACGCCGGCGCACTCCTGGGCATGCATGGACGTGGCAACTGGCCCAGAACGCCGCACGTTATGAAGGGTTAGCTTTTGGCGAGATGCCGCGTCGCATGTATTCACGTGTTTTGCAAGGTGTGTGGGGAAATATATTTAGCCAGGACAGGTGCGCGGTCTTCTTCAACGGAACAGATTTCGGCCGGCTCGCGCCCGTGAGACACCATGCCTGCTGCCTGACGCCTGCTGACGCGCAGGGACGCGTCACGCCAGCGTCACACGCGTCACGCCAGCTTCGCGTGCTGGAGGCAGGGTCCGGCAGCGGCGTGGGTCATCACGGTACCGCCAGGCTCGGGGCGCCCACCTTCAGCTTTAGGACTACGGACTGATTGAAGTTCCCGGAGACGGGCGTTGATTGTGGTGGTTTTTGGCGGGCTCCATGATAGCGACGAGGCTAGCCAGTGATCCGTGCACGACTCCAGAGCCCCTAGGGCAAGGCGGATTTACAATCCAGCGACGGTTCCGATCAGTGCACCGTATCCAGTGGCCCGCGCCCAGAGGTGACCCGTTTAGCGAGACCGGTCGCTGCACTGGCCGCTCACGGCGACGGTCCTGGATAGGACTGCGATGGAGACAAGTTCCGAAGGCCTCCTCAGCAGCTAGCCGGCTACCTGAAAACGCCACGCTTTTCGAGAGCGAGAATACGCGTCTCCGCGCCTTCGAGGACCTTCGAGGACAGCCGTTTCCCGTCGGAGCCTCCTTGTTCTCGCTTTTCCGGGCTCAAGTCTCGACATCCGCGTCAGTGGCAGCGATGGAAAACACAGACGTCAGGCGCACGTGTCCCGACGAGCGCCGCCGCAAGCCGGCTGCCCCGGGCCACCCGGACTGGGCGGCGCCCGCCGGCGGGCCACACGTCGCCGCGAGACGCCGTGCCCGCGCCGGCACGCCACCAGCGCCGCCGCCACGGCAGGGCAGAGCGCGAGGGTCACGTTCACCCGCCGCAGCCAGCCGGGCGATCCCCGAGGCCCGGCCTCTCGACATCTCCCGGGGGGCCTTCGGCCGCGCGGTCGTCAGGAGGGGACCATAGAGCACGCGGCGACCAGCGCCTTCGCCTGGGCTCGCTTTCCCACCCGTGACGGCGGATGAACGGTGGCCCGGACCCAGTACCCGCAGCCGTCGTTACCCGCACTGTCGCCTTGAGCTGGTGCAGCTCAACTCACGCTTACTGTCAGTAATTGTGGCGTTCGGGTGCCAGCGGAAGCCACGATCAGCGCAGCTCTCGTCGACGACTGGCCAACATCCAACAAAACCATCCAGTGCGGCGTCCACGCTCCGCAGCTGTATTCGAGCCTCTCCATTCGTCAGACTGAGCGGTGACGTCAGAGGCGGAGCTGCGACTGCCCGGCAGACGGCGCTGCTGGCGCACAGCGCGACGGTCAGGCACCGCGGCGGCCGCGGCCGCCGGCCGGGGACGCGAACCAGCGCTGGCGCCGCGCTCAGTACCTCAACACGGCCTGTCGCGCGCCTGACACGTTGCCCGGCTCCGTAACATGCCGCAGGCCGCCGACGGCCTCGCCACAGCCGGAGCCGTGTTGGTCCGCCAAGCCGGCGTTCTGACAGAGGCCGCCGTTTCTCGGCGGTACGTGATCGAACACAAACAAAACCCTCCGGATCCACTCCCATGTGGCTCCCGCAACCGCGTAGTGGGAGGTCACGCGAAAACAGACATGTTGCACCAGGGAACATGCACCCGCGACCAATGGTCACCGTCCACACCAATTCGTGCGAAATGGTCAGCGATTGGTCGACTTGGTGACCCAACCGGCCAATCGCCGTTCGGTGCTGATCACAACGCCCAATCACCGTCGACTTACGCCACCGTCGCCAGGCGTCGCGTCCAATCAGCGTCCGCTGCGGTGCCAGCACGTTCAATCAGCGTGCGCCGCTGCGGTGCCAGCACGTCCAATCAGCGTCCGCTGCGGTGTCAGCACGTCCAATCAGCGTGCGCGGGCCGGCCGGCCCCGCCCACTGGCCGGAGCCTGCTTACGCCGCACCTTGGCGCCCGAGACGGGCTTGCCTCGCTTGTTGCGCGGCTTCCAGCGCTCGGCCCGACTAGTCTCCTCCTCGGGCCGCGCCCGCTTCGCCTGCGCCTCGCGCTTCGTCGCCTGCGCGGCCGCTTCTTGGCGAAGCGTTTGGTGGTGGGCCGAGCGGCGCCGGCGGAGGAGGCGATGGCTCGGAAGTCTGCCGAGACAATGGGCGAGAGGTGTCAACAGGGCGGCGCCAGGCGCCACCAGCGAAGGCGAACAAGCCCTGACAAGACATGGCCACTATTTTTAGATAGCGGGGTGATAAAATACAGATGTTTCACGTGCGGCTTATTGCGAGGCGCTGGACGCTGGGCGAAGCATTAGCTCCTTGAAACACGTAACTGACGCCCGTTCGCGCAGCGCGCGTTCGTCCACCATCGCGCCGCCCTATCGACGACAGTTCAGTGATCGAGTGACGGAGTCCCCGCCACCACCAGACGGCGAACCGGCCGACCCCAGACTCAGTCCTCCGGCTGTCCTCAGTCCTCACTCCGCCAGTCCTCACCGTCGTCCGGCTCGAGGCCGACCTCTCGTCGGTACCAAGCGGCGTCCTCGGCGGCGTCAGCCGCGGCCTCGCCCTCCTCCGGCTCGGAGTCGGCCGCGCCGCCGTCCTCCCTCCTCCTCCGACGAGCCGTCCTCCTCCCGCCGCCGACCGGCCTCTCCTCCGTCGGCCTCCTCGACATCGTCCTCGTCGTCGTCATCACCGTCGTCTCCCTTGACGGCGGCGGCGTCCGCCATGGCCTTCTTCATGCCTGCGCGGGTAGACAGGTCGGATGGTCCGATCAGGCCCACCTCAGCGCCGCACACACACGCATACACCCGTATACCACTGTATACAGGTGACGTGCACACTCACTCCTCGCACGCCGCGTCAGCAAAGCAACGCCAGCGACAGTAGGGGGCCGTGCGCGGCGGTAGGAAGCGGGTCAGGCGGAGATGGCAAGTCCAAATGGGGTGACGCGAAGCAGTCGTAAGACGGCACCTCCGCCATACCGTGCCATACCGGCATACTGTGTCATGCCGCCATAGCGCCATACCGTGTCATAGTGGCATACTGTTCCATACCGAAATACCGTGCCGTACCGACATCAGCATATTGTGTCATACCGACATACAGTGCCATACCGACCATACCATGACATACCCACATACCGTGCCATACCGACAAACCGTGTCATACCGGGACAAGACATCTGTCTTTCAGTGTGATTGTCACACCGCCGGCCCCCACAGCCGGATGTGTCAACGTGCAACATGACGATCATTCTCATCACCACCACTGCTTGCCTGTCGCCGCAATACAGCATCATGACGTCGCTAGTGACGCTAGTGACGTCACCACTGACACTCACCAGTCAGTGACCTGTGGCACTCACCAGTCAGTGACATGCGACACTCTGCTACCCCTGACCTGTGACACTCATCAACCAGTGATCTGTGACTCTTCCCCAGTCTGTGACCTGTGACACTCACCCGCCAGTGACTGGTCCCTCAGCTCGGCGCGGCGCGCCGCCTTCCGCTCCACGTTGCTCTGTTGCTCCGCCCGGCGCCTGGCCTTTAGCTGTCTGAGGGCGGGGAGAGCGAGACGGACGGTCAGACGGCCGTACCGGCCAGTCCCCCTCCCCCCCCCCCCCCCCCACACACGTCGGCCCGGCTGTCGACGCACGCGACACGAGTACGGACCGGGGAGCATGGGACGGCACGCGCCACGCGACAGGGTGAGGATGTGGTCAGTAAAGGCGCGGGAACAACACGGCTGTAAGCTGAACTGAGCCTTACAAGCCTTGAGCCCTGAGCTGGGTCCTCAGCATTGTTCACCATTTCTATACTGTGCAACGCCTCAGAGCCTCGCCACCTCACTGCTTCTGATCCCCGCCTCACACAGGAGTCGGTCAGCTCAGTACCGCAGGGTAAGGCGCCCCGCCCGGGCCTGACCGGGCCGGGTTCTGCGACCGTGTTGCGGGCGGCCCTGTGACCGAGACCTCCAGCCGTGCCTGTGCCGGGACGGGGGACACTCACTCCCGCTGCTCCCGGCGCAGTCTGATGGCTTCCAGCTCCTCGTCGGTCTTGCTGACCAGCTGGTGGAAGAGCACCTCTCCGCCCACCAGGCCGGCCTCCGCCTTGATGAGCTGCGGCAGGACGGGTCATCACTCAGTTGACGGCGTCTCAGTCGCCGCTCCCGTCACCAGCCACCGATCACCAGTCACTACTCACGTCACCAGTCACTACTCACGTCACCAGTCACTACTCACGTCACCAGTCACTGCTCACGTCACCAGTCACTGCTCACGTCACCAGTCACTGGTCACCAGTCACTACTCACGTCACCAGTCACTACTCACGTCACCAGTCACTGCTCACGTCACCAGTCACTGGTCACCAGTCACTACTCACGTCACCAGTCACTACTCACGTCACCAGTCACTACTCACGTCACCAGTCACTGCTCACGTCACCAGTCACTACTCACGTCACCAGTCACTACTCACGTCACCAGTCACTGCTCACGTCACCAGTCACTGGTCACGTCACCAGTCACTGCTCACGTCACCAGTCACTGGTCACCAGTCACTACTCACGTCACCAGTCACTACTCACGTCATCAGTCACCGCTCACGTCACCAGTCACTACTCACGTCACCAGTCACTACTCACGTCACCAAACACTACTGATGTCACCAGTCACTACTCACGTCACCAGTCACTGCTCACGTCACCAGTCACTATTCATGTCACCAGTCACTACTCACGTCACCAGTCACTACTCACGTCACCAGTCACTACTCACGTCACCAGTCACTTCTCACTCACCATGTCACCATGTCACATGTCATGTCACCAGTCACTGGTCACCAGGCACTACTCACGTCACCAATCAGCGATTCTGGTAACGTAAACCCACAATACCAGGGCAAAAATTACAGCAAAAAACGGAGGCTACATAAAGCAATTAAGTTTTCAGTGCATCACCCCGTATCAGGTTTCCACCTTTAAGTGTGAAAAGTTGTTATGTAAGACAGCTTTACACGAGCATGAAGCATGCATTTTCGAACGCCCCAATCCGACGCCGGCACCGAAGCCGTCCGCTCCGCAACACCGGCCCCGGGCGGTCGGTGGCACGAGGGGTGAGCACGGCCGGACGGGCGAGCGCCGGCGCCGCACCTGCAGCGTCAGGCGCGGCCCCAGCTCCACCAGCCGCACCGCCGACTGGGCGTTGACGATGTTGCCCCGGGACCGCACCGGCTGGGGCAGCTCCACGTGACTGCTGGGGTCGTCCTCGCCCTCCGACTCACTCATGTAGCCGGCCCTGTGGGTCAGGTCAGGTCAGGTCAGGTCAGGTCGGGTCAGGTCAGGTCAGGTCAGGTCAATGGACTGCTGGGGTCGTCCTCGCCCTCCGACTCACTCATGTAGCCGGCCCTGTGGGTCAGGTCAGGTCAGGTCAGGTCGGGTCAGGTCAGGTCAGGTCAATGGACTGCTGGGGTCGTCCTCGCCCTCCGACTCACTCATGTAGCCGGCCCTGTGGGTCAGGTCAGGTCAGGTCAGGTCAGGTCAGGTCAATGGACTGCTGGGTCGTCCTCGCCCTCCGACTCACTCATGTAGCCGGCCCTGTGGGTCAGGTCAGGTCAGGTCAGGTCATGGGACTGCTGGGGTCATCCTCGCCCTCCGACTCACTCATGTAGCCGGCCCTGTGGGTCAGGTCAGGTCAGGTCAATGGACTGCTGGGGTCGTCCTCGCCCTCCGACTCACTCATGTAGCCGGCCCTGTGGGTCAGGTCAGGTCAGGTCAATGGACTGCTGGGGTCGTCCTCGCCCTCCGACTCGCTCATGTAGCCGGCCCTGTGGGTCAGGTGAGGTGAGGTCAGGTCAGGTCAGGTCAGGTCAGGTCAATGGACTGCTGGGGTCGTCCTCGCCCTCCCGACCCATTCATGTAGCCTGCCCTGTGGGTCAGGTCAGATCAGGTCAGGTCAGGTCAGAGGACTACTAGTCATCCTCGCCCTCTGACTCATCCATGTAGCCGGCCCTGTGGGTCATGCCAGGTCAGGTCAGGTCATGGGACTGCTGGGGTCATCCTCGCCCTCTGGCTCACACATGTAGCCAGCCCTGTGGATCAGATCAGGTCAGGTCAGGTCAGGTCAGGGGACTGCTGGGGCGTCCTCGCCCTCTGACTGACTCTGCCTCCGAATGTAGCTGATTCTGCCGCGTCAGGTCAGGTCAGGTCAAAGGTCAGTCCCACGCCCGCTGGGCCCCGCGAATCAGGTTAGCTCAAACACCCATCCAGCTAGCGACAAGAGGGAGAAAATATCAAACACTTGAAGCTCCATATGTTGAATACTTGGAATAGTCAGTGACGCAACTAGGCGATGCAGCAGTGAACAGCGCGCCGTCGCAGCCCCGCCCGGTCCACCCCAGCGCTCAGAACTGCACGCCGGCCGCCGCCACCAGGGGGCGGCCGCTCCGCCCACGCTACCTACTTCATGACGAAGTCGGCCATGTCCTGCAGCCGGCCCATGTTCGGCACGTGCGTCCGGTTGACCAGCTTCTTAACGCCCTTGGAGATGCCGACGGGCACCACCTTGATGGTGTAGTGGCGGAAGTCGATGGTCTGGTCCTGGGCGTTGTAGCTGAACAGCACCGCCCGTCGCAGGTTGTTCAGCTTCAGCTGTACGGCAGGTTGTTCAGCTTTGTGACATCAGAGTCATGAACACGTCTCGGCGCCACTCATCAGTGACACGGTGTGTAAGCGCGTCTCTGAACAGATGTAAACTGGATGCATGAACGGACAGGGTTTAAGTCACGTTTTTATATAACGAAAAGCGCCTCAACACGTGGCCAATTCGATGGAAAAGATCAGAGAGCCGCCTTTCGTAATCACATGATATGTTTAGTTTGATAAAAGCAAAACCTATGACACTCAATGCTGGAATTGTCCACTCGTGATTCCCACCGGTCCCACCTTGTGGATGTTCAGGACGGGAAACATGTTCTGCAGCATGGTGGCCATCAGCTGTACGTGCGGCTCCGACCCGCTGAAGTTGTTGAGGATGAGCAGCGGCCCGTGCAGAAACTGCTTGCTGTAGGTGACCATCCGCTTCAGCGAGTGCAGTACGTCCCGGCTGAGGGTGTAGTCGTGCACCTGCCGACCCGACACCGGTCACAGCGCCGCCGGTGACCCGACACCGGTCACACCGCCGCTGGTGACCCGACACCGGTCACGGCGCCGCCGGTGACCCGACACCGGTCACACCGGCCCTCTGGTGACCCGACCACCGGTCCACGCGGGCCGGTGACACGACACCGGTCCACCGCCGGGTGACCGACACCGGTCACACCCGGTGACCCGCACACCCGTCAACTGCCGTGTGACCGACACCGGTTCACACCAACCGCCCTGTGACCGACCCGTCACACCGCCGCTGGTGACCCGACACCGTCACACACCGTGGTGACAGACCCGGACCCGCCGGTGCAACACGCGCCGTGCCCGACCCGGCACACCGCCGCTGGTGACCCGACACCGGTCACACCGCCGCTGGTGACCCGACACCGGTCACACCGCCGCCGGTGACCCGACACCGGTCACACCGCCGCTGGTGACCCGACACTCACAACACCGCTATATACTTCTTGTTCAAAAGCTGGTGCCGTATCCTGCCACGTGACACAGACGAGCGTGGTAGACACTGAGTCCGTACGTGTCCGCCAACTGGGACGAACGCGACCACAATGGCAAGGCGGCGGCGTGGGAACCAGTCCAGCCAGGAGCTCTGAGCATCTGCTCATGTATTCCATACTGCCGTCGTGACCAATGCTCGTTTTGCGTCTTAGGACCTGCGAGTGTGTGTGAGAGGTGTGAGAGGACTGACTGCGGTTTCGAAGTTAAACATGGCACCTTGGTCATACTGAACATGTGAAACCTTACGGATGGTCCGTGTTTGTGCGTGTGCGTGTGTGCGTGTGTGTGTGCGTGTGCGCGTGCGTGTGCGTTGTGCGTGTGCGCGTGCGCGTGCGTGTACGTGGGTGTGTGCGTGTGCGTGTGTGGTGTGCGGTGGCGTGTGGTGCGTGCGTGTGTGCGTGCGTGGTGCCGTGTGTGCGTGCCGTGTTTGTGGCGCGTGTTTAGCGCGTCCTGCGCGCTATTGATCGGCGTGCGCATGAGTGAGTGAGTAACTTGACGTGAGTGAGTGAGTGAGTGAGTGAGTGAGTGAGTGAGTGAGTGAGTGAGTGAGTGAGTGAGTGAGTGAGTGAGTGAGTGAGTGAGTGAGTGAGTGAGTGTGTGTGCGTGCATGCGTGCGTGTGTGCATGCGTGTGTGCGTGCATGCGTGTGTGCTGCGTGCGTGTATGCGTGCGTACCTGCACGCGCGTGTTTCGTCGACCTCCCGACTGACCTGAAGGTGAGTGTGGGTCCGCGCGGGAACTTGGCCAGCTTCATGTAGGTGGAGATCTGCGTGCGGGTGAAGAGGCAGAGGTGGGTGACCCCCAGCGGGCCGGCCACCGACGCCAGGTCGCGCACCGTCGTTCCCTTCGCCTGGGGGTGGCGCCCGCCGACGCGGCCCGTGTCAGACAGCCGAGCGGCAGCGGCGGCGGCGGCGGCGCAACACACACAAACCGGCGGGTGGTGAGACGCGGCAGGTCAGAGGCGTTCCACGCCGCCCCAGGGAGGACGGCTGTCTGGGGCGCGCCCTCCTGCAGGATCACTGGTACTCTGCGTTCAGACGACTTCCCGCACGCGCCGGACGGACACAAACTCGGTCACCAGTCACAAACACGTCATCAGGTCACAATGACGGCCACCAGGTCACATGCGTCCCAGTCGGCACCGAGCGTCCCAGGCCCTGCTGTTCTTTCACCGACGTAAAAACACATGTTCGGAGTACGCAAGCAGTATCCTGCTACGTGGCAAGAAAGACACATCTTCGGCTCATGCAGATACCGGAAAATTTATCAACAGTATATCGCCACGATTAGACGTGGCGACGTGGTGATACATGATGATATTACACGTGCACGACGAACAAAGTTTTACGTCCCATGCTTTGCCACGCGGCAAACAATGATATGCCATATCAACAGTAACATACGTGCCTAAACAGAAGGCTGCTGTCAAAGTCTGGGGGGGTTCAGCTGCCAGCGATCGGTCGAGGTACCGTGTTTCCACCTATCCACCCATTAGCCGAGATGACCAGGAGTGCGCGTCCCTGTCCACCGCGGTACACAGACGCCCCAGCCTGGCCCTGCCCAGCCAGCCATCCCCGTCAGCAGCACCAGCTGGGGAGCTGGGGAGACACCACGCCCCGCTGTGCTTGCGCAAGCCCCCCCCCCCCCCCCCCCCAATGCTCACGGTCGGCACCCCTGCCCGTCACCACAGCGTGCACCCCAGCCCACCACCCGTCGCCACGGTTGGCACCCCTGCCCGTCACCACAGCGTGCACCCCAGCCCACCACGCGCCGCCACGGTCGGCACCCGCGCCAGTCCCCACAGCGTGCACCCCAGCCCACCACGTGCCGCCACGTTCGGCCCTCCCAACCCAGCCCACCACTCGCCGCCGGCATCACCTTGAGCTGGGAGGCTGTGAACGGCTCGAGCACACGGCGCATGTTGAGCACCAGCTGGCTGACGTATTTGCCGGTCTTGCCGCGTGACACCACGAACGAGTGGGCGGCGCGCTTCAGCTCGTCCGGCTCCGTCGTCTTCGAGGCCTCGTTGTTGCGCCGGGTCTTACCCTGTGGTGTGTGTAGCGCACTGCGTCAGGATGGAATCCTATGTTGATGAATCATCATCATCACCACCATCATCATCATCATAATCATCATCATTGATGATGGGGCACAGGGAGGCAAAGGGGGTAACAGGCTGGTGGCAACTGGAACTTGATCAAGTGCGAGATACAGGGAGGAGGAAATGTGATTACTTTGTTCTCCTTACCATGCTGTAGAGCTAATGTGGGCAAATCCAGACATGATGGGCTCCTACCTCAGAGATGGGCCTCCACTAATATACCACTAAGTCATGTGTTTTCTGTGTCCACTGTCAACCACTTATCACCAGTCATTGTCAGCATAGTGTATTGTAGCTATAGAATTAACTCCTGCTCCTATATTTCCAAAACCATTGCCTAAAATGTCAATTACAAGGATTAACCATCACTGATTGCACATCATCAACAGTGTTGCAGTGTGCTGCTTCATCCTGTGACATTAACTCTTGGTTTGACTTCCACGGCAGAGCTAGTTCTTTAAAAAATTGGACATGAAATTTGTGTGAGGTATGATATGAGTAATTATCCAATTATATTATCCAAATTTTTGACAATGTGTAAACAATAACCTAATTAGCAGACCTAATCTCTGGGATGTTGGACCTGGGCTCAGTCTGCAAGACATGGCAGATTTCAATGATGTCTCATCAGTGCTGTGCTGGGGCAAAACATGAAATTTGGGGCAGATTTTGGAAATCTTAAGCTTTGGAAGTTTAGAGGCAGGAATTCCTCCACTGAGGAACCTCACATGATTTTGGTGCATCTTGTGGCACTATGGGGCAGGGAGTGGGCTGGGCCAGGGCTCAGGCAGCGCTATGAAACACAAAGCTATGTACAAAAACAAAGGGGTAACAAGCCACAAAGGCAGGGGTAGTCCAAAATATAAATGAGACAAAATTTATTTAGCAAGCAGAAAGCATTTTGCTAGCACAAGATCTGCTGCTTGTGCTGAACAGGCAAACCAACCACAAACAACCCAGTCTGCAAACCATGGTAAATACAGATGAGATCTTGTCATGAAATTGGTGACAAATAAGTTTCAAGTTAGGATAGCTTATCAAAATATTCAGGCATAAAATACTGAATAAGACTACTGTGGGAATTTATTATATCACAGAAGATTGTTATATATAATGGCAGATTATATTTCTGAAGCTAAATAAGGATAACAAAACCTGCCCACAATGGAGCAGTTTACTATCTTCTTTGATGCAGGATTCTGTCTGTCCCAAACATGCTGCCATGCTTGCCATAGCTTTCAGACTGGCAAACAATGATATTTCAGACAGCCTATTATGTGCATGGCAGCTGGGAACCATAAGATTTTACCTTTTGCATTATGAAATATTTCATGCATTTATGTATGCTTTAAATTTAGTTATGTCAAGACAGAATACAAAACATTGATGACAAATTCAAAGTGATTCTAACAAAGCTTGAGCCAAGCAGTATGTGCAAATAAGATCATCACAGAACAAAACCTTACAGATCACCTGACCATGAAATGATCAGCAACTGTCCCAAGCAGAGAAGTTGGCTGCACCAATTATCTGGACTAATCTATCAACTTTTGCAAATCAGACCAGTGCATAACAAAAACCAATGTTGGGTCCCTTTCCCCTGGCCCCCTGGCTGTTGACAATGATAAAACTTGACCCTAAGGACCTTGACCCTTGACCCCAAGTACACCCAGCCCCACCCCAACATCAAGAAGGGCTGTTCCCTCTCCTTAAGTAAAAAATATTTGAATTGAGTGACCAAACCAAGAACTTATCTAAAAAGTTAATAAGAGCCTTAAAGCTCTGCATGTTGTGTGATCAGCAAGGACCATCTAAATGAATATAGATGCACACACTTATTATATAATGTAGAGATTAGTGTGTTGCAGAGTAGCACAAGTAATATTCATGTTCCTTTCCTCTAAAATGCTTCTGGTAAATTTATTGATGCATATCAGATGCAGCCATATTCTCTGAAGTACTGCCCATGAGTGGCAGTTGTTCCTTCCATCCACCCAAGCATATTGGAATATCGCTTTGGTCTTGATGAAGCTCACTTACCTTTTTACCTCTCCCCTTCTTACCCATGGTAGAAAGAAATCTATTAACCTATAACAGTAAAAATCACAAAGATCACACTTCCCGTTCCACGTTTTTTAAACGTGCACCAAGCCTCGGAACCACTTTCACAGCCCTTCCACAGTTGAAACTACCCCACAGTAAAAGAGCGACGAACTCCCCTACGCGAGCCACGCACCACACGGATCACACGTGTGACGGAGGTCCGAAGCTGCAGAAATAACTGTCGCAGTTGCGCTATTACTGCCCCCATGTCGCTAGGCATAATAGAGACGCATTGCCGGCTCGAGTACTTTGGTTACTTTGTCATAAAAATAAAGATATGGCAAATTACACCCTGCTGATGCTTAATTTACCAGGTCCTATAAAAGCGTTGAACATATCTATACCTGAACTGAATGTATTCATATTTGCTTTTTATCGAACAGCTCTTCACGTAAGTCGGCTCCTAATTTAGTAGCGACAACTCTGCTCCTTTTGGTCAGGCACGCTCATATGCCCTGCAAAGATCGCCTTGCCCATAGGTGTCTAATACCTGGTATTAGATATATATATATATATATATATATATATATATATATATATATATATATGTTCGTCTACCTGGTCGCACATGCTACTGCTCCTATTTGAGTCTGCTTCGAGCAGTAGGTTGTTTTTCATAGGCGCTGCATGGCTATCTGCCTCGACGCGCCGGAACTCCAAATCATCGTCATCGCCTTAAAAGGTAAAATTTGTACTAACTCGTTTATTTTGTTCTACCTTAGGGGCTCGAGGAAAATTTGTGTAGCTTTTGTGCTATCTGAAAATTCAACCTATTTCACCTTTAACTATGTCTATTTTTAACGAATTTTTGTGCTGGAGGTGGCTAACTTCGTGCTGTACATTGCAGACGCCTCGAAATTATTCTGACATCCCTCTTTATGGTCTACGATAATTATGCAAATTTGTGGACATATAATTGCCACGGAAATGATGGAACTATCTCGACCACTCTCACAAGCAAACTGAAGTGCGGCACTCTGTACTGACTATGTCATGCTGACATGATGAATGTGAAATGTTGTATGTATCCTCCCCAGCATATGGTAGCCATGTCAACCCCACATTGCGCAGCCAATTGCATTCATATGGAAGCCATGTGGGCGCAGGGCTCTACGGTCGCGCATCAAGATCAGATTTGCAGCTGTGTTTGAAACATGTAGCTCAAATCGGACAAGTTTGCTTCTAAATACGTGAACACTTGCAGTATGGCTACGCATGCCAATAGGCACCACTATCTGCGATAGTGACGCCTACATTTAGTTATTAAGCCTCATCGCACATCAGTGTCATTAAATGCGCCAGCTAGTTGGCCTTTAAGGTCAGCTGAACAGTCAGATTTTATATATCTTGGGAAATTACACCCCAGCGCGTGTGAAGATAAAAAGTGTTATGCAGGCACCCAGTTTCCCCACTTGACAGCGAGCTGTATTTGATAGTATGCTACTGTTGGTGTTCATCCATAGCTAGGGCTACGTTTGTATAAGGTCAGGTTAGGTCAGGTCATGATAGGTCAAGTGACGCTTGCATTACGCCCTTCACTTTGGAAATTGTCATTGGTAAGCACTGAGCGCAGCCGAGTTCTGTTGGCTCCGCAGTTCTGCGTCCTTTTCCGAATTGGATGGCGTGTCCCTGGCATGGTTATCTCGGGGACCGTGTTTTTGACATGGCTGCAACATTTGTTGTGTTTTAAGGCCAATCAGACAGGAAAATGACATTGAATCCTTAACCTGTCTAAACGAGGCGGTCTCTGTTGATGCACCCAGAGCGAGTGCAATTATTTGGTAGGTACGCTTGAAATTCGGCGTTCCAACGAGTGAGAAGTACATATTGATTTCCAAAACATGTCAAATTAGTGGTCGAAATTCGGGGAAAATGGACGGTGGCATTGCCTGGGCAATTGTAGAGTGAATGATTTCACGGGAAATATTTCTCTTACGAACTCGATCCACTACCCGTCGGGCTGTGTCTACACTAGATGGCTTCACGGATAGTGTTTTGCCATCTCAATGCAATCTTTACCCGTGGGCAAGGCTATGTAACGAGGTAGAGCCGTCCGGTCCGAAAAGGGGCAACATCGAGCTTGCGCGAGAATAGTGGTAGTTTGGAAGCAAAGCCTGTATGACGTCAAGTATACCATATTTGATGACGTCAGTGGCACGGAGGCCTCTCAGTTAGCCAGCCGACTGCCACACAACCCATTAGTTTGAATAGTGAGTATGTTTTGGTGGCGTGCGGCTGGCGGTTCTCCGTTGGACTGAGAAGAAATTATCCGTTATTTCGCTATCCGCACACATTTCTGGAATAAACAGTGAGTCCTGGAACAGTTACGGGTTATCAGAATGTACGATTTTTGCATGCATGATGATATAACACGGGGCTATATGTCATGCGGCGTTTGTGGTGTCTTGCATTCCATGACCAGGCTTGTCCAAGGCTGGCTTGTCGTTAGATTGCCTTAGGCTTGTCTGTGCCTTTGGTGCCTGGTGGCAGGGTTGAACATCTCAACCTGCATAATTTGCTCTGTCTATAGGTATGATTACATGAACATTTGCAATACTGACTTATTATAGCTCCCACTCTTCTTATCACAGTGATGCGAGTACAGTAACGTAAGTACACTAAAACCCTATGATATTGGCCTCATGATGCCACAGTCAAGTGTCTTTTACTTAAGGGTTGTACACATATGCATAATATAATATTCACAGACCGGGCATTTCAAATGATACCAATCCTTCAAGACAAACTGCACAGGAGATCCCTCGTACAAGGCGTAGTCGTGGCAACTGATCGCAGCCCTCTGATATGAAGCGCCAAGCAACTGCGATACGCGATGCGCTGCAAACGCCGCATGACGTTTAACCCCTAGTTATGTACACCCCATGGAAGAATATAAAATTCTGATGAGGTAAACTGTTCCGAGATTCAACCTCCTTTCTAGAATTGTGTTCGCATGACAAAACCATGGACCATTCATTCAGAGTCCAGCCGGGAAGCGCCAGCCGCACGCCACCAAAACATACTCACCATTCAAACTAATGGGTCGTGTAGCAGTCAGCTAGCTAACTGAGAGGCTTCCGTGCCACTGACGTCATCAAATATGGTATACTTGACGTCATGCAGGCTTTGCTTCCTAGCTACCTCTATTCTCACGAACGCTCGATGTTGCCACTTTTTGATAGTGTTAAACGATACGGATGACACCCCCTAATGTCAACCCCCCAACACCGGTACATTGTCTTCGCGACCCCGCTGGGGCTCTGAAATGGTTCCCTTGTGCCCGTATCACCTCTCCACGTTTATGCTCGGTGGTGTGGGTCTGCTGGTTGCCGATGAGTACCAAGGTGTGCGGAAGGCTAGAGAGGACAGTTCAAGCCAATGATCATCCTAGGGCATCAGTTTGTGCAGTTAAGTGGCCAAACGCCAGTCGTTTCACACCACATAGCTGCCTTATGAAGTGCTAAACCATGCCCATAAGGCATGTATCGTGTCTTGAAATGAGGCCGAGGGTATATTTGACTATGACCAAGAACCACCGCCACGCAACACCCCACAACAAGAATGCGAAATCTGATGACTGAGGCTGAGTGCATTCAACTCGCTCCGTCGGAGCCTTACACGGTCAGGCCTGGTCAGGTCAGGTCTGGTCAGGTCTGGTCTGGTCTGGTCAGGCCTGGTCAGGTCAGGTCGAACCTTACATGGACAGGTTTGGTCAGGTCTGGCCCGATCACGTCAGGTCAATTCAGGCCAGGCGTGGTCACGTCAGGTCAGGCGTGGTTAGGTCAGGTTGTTGTTGTTGATTGGGGCTTTAGGGCGCGCCGACCACTGTGGTCATTTTGCGCCCATAACAGCAAAATGGCTACCTACGACGGTAAATGACTAAAAAATATATATTATTCGGAAATGAAAATGGCTGATTTGTGTGAGGAACGCGTCATTGATGCGAAGCTTTCCGCAACCTAAAAACTTCCTACACGCGGTATAACTATTCAGGCAGGTGTATATAAACAGGCAGGTGTATATAAAGTGCAGAACTTAACATGCGATGCGAACTTGAGGGTATGTTGGATATGTGGTGAGCTGTCAGCTAGTAAATCGGAGAGCGTCAGGGACGGCGCCGCCGGGCCAAAGAACCTCAGACGCTCAACACGTAGTATAGAACAACATATGAGCACATGTTCCACTGTGAGCGTGGTGTTGCAGTGGCGACATCGTGGTAGTTCGTCGTGACATAGTAGGTATCGATGTGTAGCATAAGTATGACCAATCCGCAACAGACACAGGATTACTTCCTCCCGTCTAGACTTTCGATAGGATGACTGCCATTCCTGAACAACTGGCTTGATGTTTTTCAGTTTAGTGGTGTCCATCGCATCCCATGTGCTCTGCCATTCCCCGCGCAAAAAGGCAGAGATGGGCGAGTACAGGTCTGCGGCGGGTACCGGAAACGCTCTGCGACAGGGACGACGAGTAGCACGCTTTGCAGCAGAGTCAGCCAGCTCATTTCCCGCAATACCAACGTGGCTCGGAATCCAGCAAAGTACTTTGGTCTTGCCAGCCCGGTACAGAGAGCCGAGACGCAGTAAAACATCCTGCGTAAGGGACCGGATTAAAACTCCTTAGTGCCGAAAGGGCACTTAGGGAATCCGATCAAATCACTTGCAGACTGTCTTCGCCCACCTCTATAAAGCAGAGCGCCTTAATGATAGCTAGGTCAGGTCTGGCCTGGCCTGGTCAGATCATGCCTGGTCAGTTCAGGTCAGATCATGCCTGGTCAGTTCAGGTCAGGTCAGGTCTGGTCTGGTCAGGTCAGGTCAGGTCAGGTCAGGTCAGGTCTGGTCTGGTCAGGTCTGGTCTGGTCAGGTCTGGTCTGGTCTGGTCTGGTCTGGTCAGGTCTGGCCTGGTTAGATCAGGCCTGGTCAGTTCAGGTCAGGTCTGGGCAGGTCTGGTCTGGTCAGGTCAGTCTGGTCACGTCTGGTCAGGTCAAGTCTGGTCAGGTCAGGCCTGGTCAGGCCAGGCCTGGTCAGGTCAGGTTACGTCTGGTCAGGTCAAGTCTGGTCAGGTCAGGCCTGGTCAGGTCAGGTCTGGTCAGGTCGAGCCCGGTGCGTCCAACACACGACCAAGACCAGCCGGGTTTGCAGGCTGGCGGCGCGCGCCACGGGCGCTCGTCTGGCACTCCAAACCGGCAGGAGGGGCGGGGCAGGCCTGCCTGACAGAGATCCGCTCCGGCTTCATCCCACGTCAACCCGGCGGACGCCCCGCACTCAGGCTGGCTTCAGCGGAGCCGGAGAAGCAAGACCTCGCGCTGCTGCGGCCCGAGGCTTACGCACCCCAAACTCTCGTCAGGCTCTCTCCCGTTCGTTGTGCAGGCCCCCCATCCCCACGCAATGCCCGGGCGGAGACCTCTCCCTCTCCAGCCGCTGCACCTGCTCCCACACACACACAACACCAACACGCACGCGCGCGCACGCACGCCGCACGCACGCACGCACGCGCGCACGCACACACCGCGTGGCAGACAACTCTGCCGACGACAGCGCAGAACACGCAGGACGCAGAACACGATGCAAGCGTATTGGCGTCGTTCAGTGCAGGACGAGTTGCTCACGGCGGTACGACAGTGCTCCGCGTGCACGCCCGGCCACCCACCAGCGGACACACTCACCCGTCGCCCCATGGCCACAACCTGGAACATGACACGAGCGGGCTTCGGCGTCGCCTGCATTAAGTACGCGAATTTGGGAGCCGACGTTTGATCTCGCTGGCAGCTTGGTTCCTTAAGTACAGAGCACACGTCTGAGTATCACAACGAAGCACCGTCGCCTAAAAGCTTCGTGCCGAGTAGAATAGACATAGCAACGTGTATTTTTTTAGACATTAGACATAGACATAGACATGGCCGAGCCTGCGTTTCAGATCCCAGACGACTTCTCCGCCGTGACGTTACAGACCGTCCGCGGGCCGGCCGTGACGTCACGAGACGGACGCCGGTCCACGCACGTGACAGCAGGGAGCAGCGGCTAGTTCGAGTTGCACAGGAAGGACACCTTGTTGACTGGAAACGCGAAAAAAAGAGGACGTGAGAACGCCGGGATCGAATGAGGCCGACTCACTGCACGATGGTTGGGCGGCTCCGGTGGACTGCTGGAGTGGCACACCGACCGGTCATACCGGAATTCGAGGAAATCAGGCGGAAATTTAAGGACAGCAGGCGGGAATTCAAGAAGAGCAGACGGGAATTCGCGGAGAGCAGACGGGAATTTAAGGACAGCAGACGGGAATTCAAGAAGAGCAGGCGGGAATTCAAGAAGAGCAGGCGGGAATCCAAGGAGAGCATGCGGGAATTCGAGGAGGGCAGGCGGGAATTCGAGGGGGGCAGGCGGGAATTTAAGGACAGCAGGCGGGAATTCAAGAAGAGCAGGTGGGAATTCGAGGAGGGCAGGCAGGAATTCGAGGAGGGCAGGCAGGAATTCGAGGAGGGCAGGCGGGAATTTAAGGAGAGCAGGCGGGAATTTAAGAACAGCAGGCGGGAATTTAATAACAGCAGGCGGGAATTTAAGAACAGCAGGCGGGAATTCGGGGAGAGAAGGCGGAATTCGACAGCAGGCGGGAATTCGAGGAAAGCAGGCACGATTGAGCGCCGCGGGCAGCGAACAGGGTCGTAATACGGAGGTCAAATAATGAAAACCCTTACACAACCATATCCAACTAAATGAACACAGGGTACGCTTGCAAAACAATACATGATAACCACAATTCCAAGGACTAAATCGTATTGTGCACATTGATTGCTTTGATCTTTACCTCTGGATCTCTTGCCTGCAAGGTACCATCTCAACCCAACCTGACGTGCTGAACTAAATGACCTCTTGTCACCTGATCATAACCAATCAGCACAGAACTAGAGTCGACAGCATTCACCGGTCGCACCCAACACGTGAACGCAGCCGGGAGCGGGCCCCGCTGTCTGACCTGCACTGTTGTCGAGCGGCGCCGGCGGGTGGAGGGTCGGGGCGCCGGCGAGCACCGCCTCCGCCTCGTCCTTCTCCAGCTTCATCTGGGCGTCGTCCAGGGTCACCGTGTGACTGCCGACACAGAGGGAGCTCTCTATACCAGAGGCCGGCGGCGGCTCCAGGGGGCCGGAGTCAGAGCACAGGGGGCGCTCTCTGCACCACAGGCCGGCGGCGGCCCCCCAACACACGGCCCCGCCGCCACCGACGACCAACACAGACCGAGAGAGGACCCGTCCACGAGCGGGCGTCATCTACAGACTGTGGTAATCAGCTGGAGGAGGTCGGCGACGGTGCAATCACACGCCACAGGTGGTGACCCGCCGGCTGCACTAGGCGAAGGAAAGGTCACGCGAGAGTGAAACCGTTTTGAAATTTTGGTTTTCAATGCATTTTGCGCGGTCTAGATCGGTTTGATCAGGTCACAGTGCATCCAAATTGAGGGGCAGAAATTGCAGTTGTTAGACATGGCGTGGGCTCCGTCGGAATCTTGTTGGGTGGTTGTGTTTGAGAACCTCCACTGCCGGTTTGCTTCACCTTCCTCTCCCCCCCCCCCCCCCCCACCATGTGACCCGATCCACCCCTCCCAAAACACAACACCGGAGATCCGCTGGTTTTTTTTTGGGGGGGGGGGCTGCCCCGGCGCTCAGAGGGGCTCAGACCCGAGACACAGGGGGTACAGGGGGGGGGACATGATCTCTCACATGTCCAGGCCGCCGGCGTCCGCCTTGCCCGTGACCAGCTCCCGCCACTGGTCGGCCGTGTCCGAGATCACGCAGTGAGCGAACTCGCGGTCCTTGGCCTCGCCGTTGAAGGCGAACTGCCGACACGCGGAGACGTGCGTCACTCACCACCTGGCTCACTGCGCCGTCACGGAATCAGCCTGACGCAGCACACTCAGCGCCCTTCTGCGTCTCACACGCTGCACCAAGTCGCCTGTTGGCGATGTGTTACACGCCGGTGGCGGTCATGAATGCCGAAACAAGCGGCCGGTGTGTGGAGTCAAACCCACGCCCTCGCAGTCGCATGAGATGACGCGCCTGCGGCGCCCGGACACCGCCCAGCCTACCACATGCCAGGACACTGCCAAACAATACCCTACGCGTAAGAACCGCAGCACGCAATGGTGCACTGGCAGACGAGTGGCAAACGAGGAGAAAGCACTGTCTCATCACGACGTGATCACGCAAAAGCGTCGAGACAAGCAAGGATGGGCTACGGTGCACTGGTCCAGACGGAAAACACTGCCTCGATAATAATGACAGAGCATTTACAACCACGCGACCTAAAACACAGCAACCAAAAAGCAGCGACAGATGCCGACGGAGTGGCGCGTTGGTAGCTCGCTCTAGCTCTTGGTAGCTCGCTCTAGTAGCTTGGTAGCATCGCTCTCTCGCTGCGGCGCCCGCAGCCCATTGTCTGCGGCACCACTGCCCCGACCCCGTGCCAGCCGTCCAGCGCGCGCGGCCGCCTGCGTGCCCGTGACCCGTGACCCGTGACCCGTGACCCCTGACCGCGGCCCCGCGGCCTCACCTTGTTCTCCGGCTTGCCGTCGGGCACCTTGTACAGCCGGAGCCACTCGACGGTGGCGCTCAGGTAGCCGGGCATCAGCTTCTCCACGTCGCCCACGTCTGTCGGCACACCAGCGCGCGTCCCAGCCGCGGCGGCGGGGCCGGCCACGGCGCGACCGGCCGCCGGTCCCGCCGGCAGGGACCGTCGCCACCAGAGCTCACACAGCGCTGTGCGGCCCCCGACAGCCGAGCAGCGGCCGTCGCCGCCAGAGCTCACACAGCGCTGTGCGGCCCCCCGGCAGCCGAGCAGCGGCCGCCAGCGGATGAGAGATGCAGCAGGACCGCCGCCGTCGAGGCATGCTAATGTGACTGAATGGCAGACGGTGTGCCGCCGTCATTCGGCCGTGGCCGCTGTAAGACTCCGTACCGGCCGCTGTGAGGCCCCATGCCGGCCGCTGCGAGGCCCTGTGTAGGCCACCGTGAGGCCCTGTGCCGGCCATTGTGAGACCCTGTGCCAGCCGCTGTGAAGCCCTGTGCGGGTCATTTGGAGGCTCCGAGCCGGCCGGGCGGCGGCGCCCGGCCCACTCGCGGCCACCGTTCCGACCGTTCAGCCATCCCGCCGGCCTACCGTTCAGCTGTTCGGCCAGCGGGTCATCCACGTTGATGGCGAGGAGCTTCCAGTCCGTCTCGCCCTCGTCGATCAGGGCCAGCACTCCCAGCACCTTCACCTGGATCACCTCACCCTGCCGGCACACCTGCGGAGGCCGGCACAGGGGCGTCACATGACTACCTTCACCTGGGGCACCTCACCGCGGCGGTGCACCTGCGGAGGGCGGTAGAGGGGCGTCACATGACCACCTTGACCTGAGCCACCCGATCACGCCCGCAGGGGCGTGATCTCATCCACATCCACAACTCCAACACAATGCACCACAGGAAAACCCGAGGATTCCCCCCCCCCCTCCCCCCATTCCGCAGTTACAGAGCTAAACGGCTGCGACCATCTGGCGACACAGCAGAAATACACAAGTATGAAGACACTCAGTGCGGGCCACGGGCCACCGGCCAGCGCCATCAGCGGACTGCCCCTCCTCCGCTGAATCCTCTTCCGGTGAGCCTACGGCCGCCACAGCCCCGCCGTCCGGCCCGACGCCAGCCGATGACGTCACCCGCCTCAGTGACGTCCTCCGCCGGCCGCTTCGATGACGTCACCCGCCGGCCGCGTGCGGCGCCTCACCTTGCTGCCCAGCTCGCAGACGTCGATGGGGTCATTGTCGCCCATGAAGCCGGTCGACTCGTCCGTGACGTGCGGGTTCTCCCAGGTCTGCCGACAGGGCCCGGCGTCAGCCCGGGAGGTCGGCCGCGAGCCGCGCGTGTGAGGCGCCATATAACGGGTACAGGTCTGCACAGCCGTGAAGGAAATGCAACTAGTCGTTGTCAAAGCCTAGCCAGTTGGACTATTGTGCACTATCTTTGGTAAAAACATGACCCGACTCAGATTCCACACGGCGCGGACACGGGATGCTCGTTCGCGCTCGCGCATGGCACACCCAAAGCGCGTACAAGTGTTGGTGTGTTCAAATGGCATTGAACGCCATGTTACAGCCGCCGCACGCGAATGCCCTTTGATAAAAATGCTCGAGCTCCCTCGTCGCTTAAACAAGGGACCAAAAGCGGGCGGAGAGCACAACGCAGGTCGTATTCTGTGACTGTAACCTGAGCCAGTGTGCACAGCTGCCTTTGTGAGAGCGCCGGCCCGGGAGTACACGGCCGGACGGCCGTGTACCCCCGGGGCCGGCCATGTGCCACCGAGGCCGGCCGTGTACCCCCGAGGCTGTGTACCGCCGCCGGCCGCGTACCACCGAGCCGACACCGACCTGAGGCAGGGCGCCGTAGTTCCAGATGTAGCCGTGGTGCGGGAACACATTGGCCACGTAGCGCAGCTTGCCCTTCTTGGTGTCCTGCTTGATGGGGTTCAGCCGCTCGCCGGTGGCGATCTGCCGAACGCAAGGTCTGATCAGGTCGGGCCAGGTCAGGTACAAGTCAGGTCACGTGCAGGTCAGATAGGGTCAGGTCAGGTGCAGGTCATACAAGGTCAGGTCAGGTGCGATCAGCGCGTGCCAGACCGTGTCCCACCAGCCCCGCTCGCTCCGACCGACGGGGAGCGTCGTGGCAACTCACGGCGGCTGGCACGGCCTCTGACGAGTCGGTACACTGCGTCGACCCGAACAACGGGATGTGCGCCACCGTGCCTTACAACTCACGTACCATTCCGAGCAAAAGTACGCGTTTTGTACGCGTACCATTGAGTACGCGATCATCGCGACCCCGGAGAAATATCGGTTCTGTCGTTTCATTTTGATAGCAGATGAACACCCTGCCGAGCCACGATCCCGTGTTCAACTCATGATGCCATACTGCTGGAGTTTGGCCTTGGTCAATCGGCTGTTCAGTCTGACGCATTTCCAGGTGCATTTGACTCGGTGACCTACGATGACCTTTCGCCAAAAAATGTCATATGCAGATGAGGAAGTCACATTGCCGTGCCTGAGACGAACGAAAACGAGCACGTTGGGCCGGTTAAGCGCTCATTGCAGAACTATGAGATAAAGGCCATCTGACGAGAATGCAAAGCGACACTGTCTCATGAGGGCCTTTCGGGGTGAATGTGCGAGGTCAAGCGCGCCTTGACCAATGCGCAAGGTCAAGTGAAGCTGTTCTGTAGCTGCCAAAGCCTGTGACCTTGAAGGGATACCTACCCCTTTCTCCGTCAGTGTCTGGGTCAACAGACCCAAGGCATGGTCCGATTGAATAATAAGTTGCTCTATACAAGCGTGCACTCGCCGAGATCGTTACCATCGATAGTGGAGGACCTGGACGGACGCTGAGGTCAGTCAAAGTCCACCGATACTGCCCCGCTTAACATATTTCGGGCCGTTACAACAGCTGCGCCTCCGACTGCACCTGAGTCAATACCGCGCATGTAAGACAGACATCCATTGTAATCCGACGGCTCGGCCTCCGCTCGGACCGTCCGTGGACTGAGTCCACCGCGTCGGCGCGGCGGAAGTACCCTAGCCACCAGACACGGCACGCACCCCGGCCGTCGGCCAATCAGCGCGCTTGACCTTTGACCGGCGCCGGAAGGTCGTCTCTGCATAGGTGAGCGGGCGGAGGCCGGGTTACGTCTCCGCCCACATCCGCAGACGGTGGGGGAGGGCAGGCAGTCGCTTGCGTCTGCACGGACAGCGGTACACACGCGGCCGGTTGACGGTTTGTGACATCTGGCCGATCCCTGATCACCGCACATGATGCATATCCAGCACCTTGTTTTTCCCGCGTGATGTCATCCTTCAACCACATATAAACACAGCACACAGGAGTGGTTTCGGAAATTGAGTTGGCGGGGGTGGGGGGTCTGAACAGTGACCTAACCTACCCCTGAAATGTGCCCACAAACAGGTTTCCCCAGATTTTGCCCACTTTAGTCCCAAAGTTGGGAGGCTGAAGCCCAAACCGGCGGGGGGGGGGCACTGAATAGGAGACTACGCACCTGACAACGCTTTATATATCTAATATACATATATAATCATACTTCATAATATATCTCGTAACACCTTTCCGGGGTACCTTGGCATTTCGTGTTAAGAGTGCGGTAGCAATTGACATGTCGTCGGGCGTCCGTGTCACTTGCATACCTTCTCTCTCCGACGCCTGGAGGCCACGATGTGCTCAGCGAGGGGCACGCCCCCCCCCCCCCCCACACGTAATGAACGACCACGAAAATGCGCATTGTCATTGCTGGTAATACACAGGCAGAACACACGGCAGACGAGATGAACAGAGGGGAAAATAAAAAAAGGTTTCGCGCGTTCGAATCGCGTCGTTCCCGTCCATTGACACATGAGGATCTCGCCGCCCCTGGACGTGACGTCACCGAATGCGCGGGCGAATGGATCCCGGCCAGCGTCGGGCCCGCCGGCCGCGCTGTCTGAAATCCACCCGGACAGGGCTGACACCGCGCGGCGGCGAGTGCAATCTCGGCGATTGCACGACAGTAAGTCACGGACACTTCAGACCGCCGACGTCAGAGCACGTAGCATATTTATGACTTCCGACCTCAGGCTGTGAAGAGAGGGCCTGCCCGCTATCATCGTCCGACAGAAGTACGCGAGACTGATACGACAACGGCGGCAGATAGGCATTCATGGTCACTGCCTGCCACCTCATTCTTTCCAATGTTGGAGAGAATGAGGTCGCAAAAACAATCAATCCAATGAAAAACAGTCAGTCTCGCTGGGCGTTGAACTGAATCATGACCCTTAGTTTCAGTGGCGCACCTTTAAGCCCATGCCCTCACCCCTGTCATTTGTGCGTAGCGCTCAGAACAAAACAGAAAAAGCGAACTTGCAGACCGGCTTTGCTAACAGTACCCGCCCGTCCCGTGGTCATGTTTCGGGACTACCTCCGGTGTTTTCACCTTTCTGCACCTCTTCTAAACGATATTACTTTACTACAACTGACAAACGCCCAAATGACAAAGGAGTCGAAGCTCACGGGCTGGCGAAAGCGTTGGGAACGACCACAGATGTATTTGTTCTCCACAAGTGCGCCGCTCGACCGTCACGGCTGTCATGACGTCACGGCTGTCATGACGTCACGGCTGTCATGACGTCACGCCGGTGTCGCCTGCTGGGCCGGCGGCGGGCCTGCCGAGGCCGCTCGAGGCGAAGAGCGGGGTGAAGAGCGGGGTGAAGAGCGGGACGAAGAGCGGGGCGAAGAGCGGGGTGAAGAGCGGGGTGAAGAGCGGGGTGAAGAGCGGGGTGAAGAGCGGGGTGAAGAGCGGGGTGAAGAGCGGGGTGAAGAGCGGGGCGAAGAGCGGGGTGAAGAGCGGGGTGAAGAGCGGGGTGAAGAGCGGGGTGAAGAGCGGGACGAAGAGCGGGGCGAAGAGCGGGGTGAAGAGCGGGACGACGAGCGGGGTGAAGAGCGGGATGAAGAGCGGGACGAAGAGCGGGGCGAAGAGCGGGGTGAAGAGCGGGGTGAAGAGCCGAACGAAGAGCACGGTGAAGAGCACGGTGAAGAGCGGGGTGAAGAGCGGGACGACGAGCGGGGTGAAGAGCGGGGCGAAGAGCGGGGTGAAGAGCCGAACGAAGAGCACGATGAAGAGCGGGGTGAAGAGCGGGGTGAAGAGCCGAACGAAGAGCACGGTGAAGAGGGGGGTGAAGAGCGGGGTGAAGAGCGGGGTGAAGAGCCGAACGAAGAGCACGGTGAAGAGCACGGTGAAGAGCGGGGTGAAGAGCGGGGTGAAGAGCGGGACGACGAGCGGGGCGAAGAGCGGGGTGAAGAGCGGCGCGTTCGTCGCACCCCGTCGCACGGTCGCTGACGCATCAGGCCGGAGGCCATGACCGGCGGCGGCGGCAGCCGGCCATGCGGGGGAATCCCGCACCGCGCGCGCCGTCCCCGAGCTGACGGCGACAGTGTCAGCCTTGCATCAGCCGCCGCAGCGGCTCACAGTCCACAGGCGGTGTCTGCAGCCGACGCCAACGGCTTACGGCACAATGCCCCCCCCCCTCCCCTCCTCCCCGTCCCTCCCGTCATCCCGCACCTCACTCCCGGCGCCGGTGAGCGGTGTCCCAGCTGGTGTCTGGGACGGCGGGAGCCGCGCTGCTGAGGCAGCACCAACGGAGCGGCACGTGCCTCGCACCACCGAGGCGCAGCGCCGCGACAGTACGGCACAGGCGGGTGGCACCGACTCCTGCGGGAACGTCACGGTAGAGGTACCCCGGCCCTGGGAATCTGACATCGAATCTTACCGGGGAGGGGGAGCACCAAATAGCACACCACTTTCAATAGGGTACCGCGAGATTCGCGGCTGTACTAAATACGCCGAGTTCGGGTAAATGCGCCAATCGAAAACACTGCACAATCCACTTCGATCTAGCCACATTTTTGGACGTGGTACTTGAGGCATTGTGGCGTATTCTAAAACCGAGCCGAGACCAGAAAAAAACGAGCCCAGAAGAACATTTCTGGCGTAAGAAAGCATCTTGTTTTGACAACACATGCTGGCGCCAAGCAATATAACTTGCGGTACCAACAACTATGAACGGCCACTTTCATAGTGCGCGTGGAATATTTTTTAACCACGCCATAACAGCTTGCTACAATGTCCGAAAGGCTTATGCTGATTGTTTTCCTCCGAAATTTTTTACTCCTCTTGAGATTACTGGACCACACCACCCGAGGTCACCGTAGCAGGGCCCTGCGCCGCCGCCCAACAAACGCAACTGAGCCATATGCTGCCCCCCCCCCCCCCCCCCCCCTCCCTCCCCTCCCCGTCCCAGCGCGCCAGGACGCAGTCCAGCGGCCTTTCCCCTCGCCCCGAGCCATGGCGGCCGGCGGTGTAGCACGGCGCCGGGAAGCAGCTCACTGACGCCTCGGCACGGCCTTGCGCCGCGTCTGCCGCCGACGCACCAGCCGTCGCACAGGCCGACCACCGCGAACGGGGCGACGGCCGCCGCAGCGTCGCCGTCCGGAGTCGGTCGACCGCCCAGCTGCAGTTTATTTGCCGTGGGTCCGGACCGGGCCGGCCGACGGACCACCCCGGCCCGGGAGCCGACAGCGGCGCTCCTCCCCCCCCCCCCCCTGCCGGCGCGTACAGGGCACAGGTCAGGCACATAGGCTCCGAGCGCGCACGTTACGCCCCCGGCACCCACCGCTGGGTTGCGTTACACCATTTGTGTTCGCCAGCTCTGTTACTGCCTGCCGCTCTGCTCAAGTATTCGGGTTCCTTTGACATCGTTGTAAGTTATGGTTCATTGCCAAAATTGCAAACAAGGACAAGTTCGTGCCAAATCCATTCGACAGTAAGGCAAGAAGCGTAAGAGTCAACAGCAGTTCTGCGTAAGAGTCAACAGTTCAGCGTAAGTCATCAGCAGTTCAGGGTAAGAGTCAACAGCAGTTCGCACATGCAACGGAGCGTTTTCATCAGTCCAACTGCCACATAGAGAGCCGTCCGTCCAGGGGACCACCCGGGCAAGCGACAGGGCCAGACCTGTCTGAACACGCGATACAACAGTCCGCCGCCCACCGCGGCCCGGTCAGGTCAGAGGAGCCAGACTGACCTCCATTTTGGCGTTGGTCCAGCGCGGCACCTCCACCACCATGTTGAACACCTTCTTCTCGGCGTCGGCGTACAGCGGGATGTCATGGAACGGCGAGATCGGGCCGTCCGCGTTCCCTGCCGGACCGCGGGAGCACGCGTCACGGGCGTCACGGTACGGGCGTGCCCGTCACGCGCCACAGGCCGCAGGCGTAACAGTCACGGGAGGCCCGACACATGGTCAGCCACACGTCGTGTTTTCACCCGTCTGGCAACGGAACGTTTGCACCAGTGAGTGAAGCAGGCATTGGGAGTGGGTAAGCAGGCACCACACGTAACTCGGGGGTGATAGATTGAATTTTATTGGTTTCTCGGGCCAGCGCCACTCCGGCCAGCGCCACACCACTCCGGCCAGCGCCCCTCCACTCCGGCCACCAGTGCCACTCCGGCCAGCGCCCCTCCACTCCGGCCAGTGCCACTCCGGCCAGCGCCACTCACGTCAGCACCACTCCAGTCAGCGCCACTCCGTCCAGCGCCACCCCGCTCCTGGCCAGCGCCACTCAGCCGCCCTCTCCAGTTCAGACGGCCTTTCAAAACACATTTTGTTGTTGATTGGTGTTTTCGGGCGCGCCGACTGCAGCGGTCATTTGGCGCCCATCGCAAACCATGGTCACCATTGAGGGTTGTGACGGTGCGAATACTCAGGACAAACACGCATGCATTAAGTGTAGATCTTCTTCAGGCTCTTGTCTAACAAGGTTCATCCTATCACCAATGATCTGTTGCAGCCGCGCACAAGACACCCAACGTCTCCAGACTGTTTCGGTTCCTTGTCGGACTCCGAACATCTCCCAGAGAGGAAGTAGTAATTCGGGCAAAGACGACAGAATGCTGCGAATAACTGTCCAAGGGCATACTCCTTGTCAGTGTTAGTGCCAACAAGTTAACGACAGTTGGTTAATTTTCGCATTGCGTATGTGACATCACCGCTAAGATGAAGGTACCGAATCAAGGACGCGAGATGGTTCAAAACACCGCCTTTAACAAGGACACCCAAACCGGACGATAGCGATTGGGGGTACTGAGACGTCCCAAGCGTCATTCCTCCGGCGTCACTGGGACGTGCACGGACCAAAACAGGGCCGCCACGTTAATAATAGTATTTTTTTCTGATAAGGTAGGGCATAACAAGCCATCCCAGGCAGGCAGTCACATGCCGCCTGGCAAAGCCACGGCCTGTCATATCAGTTGTTACATCGATTTTGTCCTTACTTTGGACTAATCATAGCAGGGCTACTGGGATTTGTGACGCAAGTTTTTTGGTACCGGTAAAGTTGACACGAAAAATAAGTACGATGAAATGAAACCCACGGCTTGGGGAAGATATTTTTAAGCTTTCCGACGATGCATTGTTATAAAAATAAGTTTAGCAGTCGACAAAATGAAATGGCTGTACATCAAAAACGTCAAATAATACGAAGCCTTGTCGACAAAAACACACAATTTTAATAGCGCCCCTACTGCAATATCACCAGGAACAGCACCTTAAGATTTGAGATTTTTGATACATTTCCAGTAGCCATCGAACATTTAAAATACCATTTGCACACGGCTCATAGTTCACGTAGTTCCACACAGTTGCTTGGTCCAACGGTCTGGTGTTCAGAGTTGGAGGACAGCAACGTTTGAGCAGGAGAAACAGTCGACCACTACCAACATGTAGGAGAAACAGCCGACCACCACTAACACATTTCGGGGAGACGGCTTCGGCATCCTCCCTGGGCACGGTTGTGAGGCTTCCTTCAACCCCGTATCACAATGGAAGCAGTTGTTTTGCTGTTGTCGGCCTGCGACACTGAACACATCGTCAAACCCAAAAGCGTAAAGCATCTATCCCACCAGGATTTGTCAAGTGGACCCGATGGGTGGTGGATGAGGAGCTACCGCTCAGTTGTCGGCCGCTGGCTGCGTCCTTATTGAAACTGATTGCTTTTTGACATGCGCAGCTAGGTAAGTAAAGGAAGTACATCGAAGCTCGCAATAGAAGCATCCAAGCATACCAGAGAATTCGCATAAAATACACTACGGCGTGTATTTCCGCCCGCATTTCCGACATCAAGGCACTGCAGTGGCCTTTCCACCTTGCGATCCACCTTTTCACGAGTTTCTCCCCAGCACACCAGCACGTGCTAGCCACCACTTCTGCCGTGCCGGTGAGCCGCTGCCGACCGGTGTCGTGAGCCGCGGGGGAGGGGTTGGGGTGGGTCGAGCCGTGATGTCGCCCGCCGCTCCCAGCAGCGGCCGTCGGCCAACCCGTTATCAGCCCCAACTCCGTGTCGCGGTCAGAGGAGCCCATCCCCAACTACCGAACCCCACCAAACCTGCACCGCCGCCGCTCTAAACGTCACAAACCTTGTCTTGAGCCGGGAGCGCTTCTAAGGTATCGGGCGCGCTTCTGTCACGAATGACCGTCACGCTTGTACCGGAAAGCGAGTCACCGCCACGTCGCTTCACAAATGTCAGCTGGCATTGCCTAACACGCCGCCTCTTCCGCGGGGGAAACAGCCGGTTTGGCCGCGGTCCATGCAGCGAATGCGTCACGTGATATGACCGCTTTCTGAACATCCTTTCCTTCGTGAAAACTTTCTGAAGTACGAAACGGGCCTCCTTCTGGCAGTCGGGCCTGGGCCTGGTGGCCGCGTGTCGGCCACGGCAGCCGGGCAGTCGGGCAGCCTGCCTGTTGGGCCGCTCGCTCCTCCCTCAGAACGGGCGGCACGGGGAGGCCTGCCACGCGCCCGACACGACCCCCACACACCGCGCTGCTGAGAAAGCCGTTTTGACGGATCGGTCACCCCTGACAACCCCGGGAAGCCACAGTACGAGGGCGACGGCACGCGTCGGTCGCGCAGCTGCCGGAGAACACCGGTCAGATTCCGAGAACACAGAACAGAACAGAACGGAAGGGCGAATTCCACATTGGCGTGGACGTTTTGAGCTGAAGTAGGCATTTAGAAGATCATTCGGTGTAGTTTACAGGCCTGTCCTTCTTAAGATTAAGCCCATCTAGTTACTGAGCTACACGTCCGCGAAGATGCGCGGACTATTTCGGGAATACTATTTCTAGGTACCCCGCATCATGACGCCACAATAACGCCATTCAAAGCCTGCCGCTTCGTCGCTTACGTGGCGATCAAGGCCAAGAAAAATACCAGTGTCAAAACGTTCATGACCACGATTTCCAGATATAGCGGTCACCAATCGGCTCTCAGTCAATATGGTGCAGGTGCAATATAATATCCATCATCCGTGCCATCATCCATCATCCGTACCATCATCCATCATCCGTACCACCATCCATCATCCGTACCATCATCCATCATCCGTACCATCATCATCCGCACCATCATCATCCGTACCATCATCCATCATCCGTACCATCATCCATCATCCGCACCATCATCCATCATCCGTACCATCATCCGTACCATCATCCAGACCCACCTTGCCGCGGCAGCCCGCCGAGCCTTGCGATGACGCGAACCGATTCATGCGCATCGAACGGGACAACGCGCAACCACTCAAAGCCGACGACTCGGCGGGCCAAACGCTCCTCGCAGGTTTATAGCCGCAATGACTTAAAGAGGCACCATTAAGCAAGTCGACAAAGGTCTGGAGCCGGTAAACGGACCCATTACACGGGCAGCACTTTGGTGGGACAGGTGCGGAGGGCACGGGCCCAGGCCAGGTGGCCGCACTGGCAAGTGCACGCACATACAGATACTGCCGCGGCCAGCACTCATGACGGCTTTGGCTTTGGTAATGTTCAGAGAGATGTTGCGCGCGATCAGCTGGCGGAGCGGTGGGCGGCTGACCACGTGACCATGAGGCCGAGAGTCGGCTCGGCTCGCGCCCGACACCGGCGCCGAGGCATCGGACGCCCCCCCCCCCCCCCCCCCACACACACACACGTGCACGCACGCACGCACGCACGCACACCCTCCAGCACCGCTGCGCCAGGTCAGAGGGCGGAGGGGTCGGACGGGAGGATCACCACCCCCGCCGGTCACACAGCGGCGGAGGGGTCAGAAGGGAGACCCCCCCCCCCCAGTCACAGCGGCGGGCGGGTCGGACGGGAGGACCACCACCCTCGCTGGTCACACGGCGGCGGAGGGGTCAGAAGGGAGGACCACCACCGCCGCCGGTCACACAGCGGCGGAGGGGTCGGAAGGGAGGACCATCCCCGCCAGTCACGCAGCGGCGGACGGGTCGGATGGGAGGACCACCACCCCCGCTGGTCACACGGCGGCGGAGGGGTCGAACGGGAGGACCACCGCCCCCGCTGGTCACACGGCGGCGGAGGGGTCAGAAGGGAGGACCACCACCGCCGCCAGTCACACAGCGGCGGATGAGTCGGACGGGAGGACCACCTGGTCACTGCTAAAAGAACAATAATATATGAGGTTTATGCTGAAAGCATGGCAATGATTTCTTCATTACAGCTAATGCCACAGAACTATTCAAAATGTAGCAAGTTGACATGCATTACTTCCTTGCGTCATGATTATATTTGGTTACACAGCTTACATACAGACAAAACATGACACTGCCAGAACACCTCCACAGCTTTTCATTCTTCTAGTTTATAACACACAAGGACAGCCTGCCTACAAACATGACCAGATTATCTGAACAGCTCTCCCTACAAATGTGATTATAATTCAGATACTAGTTTCCTGAAGCTGGAGGTCTTTTTCAGCAAACCTGCCCAGATGCGTTACCTACATACATTAACAAGTTGAAACATCTTCAGAGCGCGATCCGGATCGGTCGACCGATCCGGGCAATGACAATAAAATTAGCACAATTTACTCACGATAGTAGATTCGGTAGTCCTCGCTGTTGGGCGTCCCTCGCTCTTCAAAAGTGACAGAAGCCATTGTTGATAAAGGACTGCCCGCTCTGGCCACGTGGAGAAGCTGCTGCTGGACGACGCCGAACGCCACACGTCCCCACACACCGGCTACTGATCCGAAAGAACTGACCACCCGCGGCAACACCTTCCTTCCTAAGGGTGACCTTGACAACAACGCCGGCTGCCGAGGATAGCGGCGTGCCGGACTTTGTACCTCAATAAATTATTGTCTTCTCATAAATAACACTAATTTGACAGCTGAGAAAGGATGAGATGCCGTTCAGTAGTGCCATAACGAGAGAATCATTTATTACATGGCTATTTAAGGCTATACTTCGTATGCACTATCCAAGTTCTGTGCGATTTACCTATTTTTCTCTTATTCTTACTAATTTAGTACTATTCAACTTTAAGGATCATCAGATTTGGTAGGACATTCGAATTATTTTCTTTTTTTATTTTATGCTTTTATTGTACTATTTTGCATGAACATCACATTTTTACTCGGCCAAATCAATTGGACAACCAGAACGGCCTCCACCGAAATACGCACCCTGATCATCAGCTGAATAGGCAAGCCGGAACGGCCAGTTTAGCACCAAAAATCTGATCCAGCACCAACGGTGCCAACTAAAATCTGGTGGAGGAAACCAAGCAGACATCAGGGCTGAAACCTCCGACTACAGGTGGAAGGTCATGAATAATATCAAAGTGGATTAAATCGTAGCCAAAAGTACGACTTGCTGCCCTCCGTAGCATTGGCATCAGCTCCTGGCGATACAGACCTACCTGTGGCCGTTTAGGGGTTCAAGTCACTATCTACGCGCTCGCAGGAGCACATCCAGGATGGTCATACACGGGAGGGGAGGGGGGCATCCCAGTGAGAGCTCATCACGTAATGGCAGTTGTGTGGGGAGGGGGGGGGGGGGCTCTGCATTGTCGATCTTGGCTGCTGCGTCTATGTGCGCTCGCCATTGGCCCCGGTTTCGTTTCAGGGCCTCGACCCAGGGACTCTGAATGACCCCTGTTCGGTACTGGGGTCATGGAGCCCGTGACTGGCCAGGCCCTTCCATTGCCTTCTTCTAGGCCGCTTCCTGTTCGCTGCGTGATGGCTGCACCACTGCACGATGGTAGAAATCCGGGTCATCGGCAAAATTCTGCGGAGAAAACTTAACGCGCCACAACGCTCAGCACGCTCGGTCCTACCCTCTGACGTCACCTGAACTTAAGCACGGCTGCTGCTACATGCCACAGGACATCCCAGTCAGAGGCAAACGGCAAGTGCATGAAGCGACTCAAACCCAACTTGTCACTGGTGAATGAACGAAAAGGTGGGCGCTCAAACCAACTGGTTTATGGGGACGAACGGAATATGTTCTTAGTATTTCCATAATATAAAGGTTACGTACGGCAGAACACGTTAAACGGAAGGGGGGAAGGTCATGTAGGTGTAGCTGGTTAGGTTGGTGTGGACTGTGGACCAGAGGGCTTCATGGGTTGGGGAAATCCATGGGTGCCCACGTTAAATGTGCAACAGTGTGGGTAGGTTGTATCTGTACTACGGTGGGTAAGACTTACAAAATGTCTGAGAGATTTTCAAGGACATGCTACACCGCGTTACTGCTCACGCTTCATTTAGTTATAATATGGATGGAGCTTATTAGCCTCATCCATTTACGTCATTTTGCAATTACCCATACAACAGAATATGGTCGGGTGTTATCCTTCCTGAGCGTCTTCCATGATGTATTGTCATTAGATGCCTAGAAACTGCAAGCGTGTAGCCAGTGCGTGGGCATAAACGGTCCTAGCTGGTTGAGGACCGAGTGTATGCACAGACCCACGGGTAAACATTGCACCGAGATGGCAAAACACTATCCGTGAAGCCATCTAGCGTAGACACAGCCCAACGGGTAGTGGATTGAGTTCGTAAGGGAAATCTTTCCCGTGAAATCATTCACTCTACAACTGCCCAGGCAATGCCACCGTCCATTTTCCCCGAAATTTTCCCCGAATTCCAACCACTAATTTGACATGTTCTGGAAATCAATATGCAGTTCTCACTCGTTGGAACGCCGAATTTCAAGCGTACCTACCAAATAATTGCACTCGATATGGGTACATCAACAGAGACCGATTCGTTTAGACATGTTAAGGATTCAATGTCATTTTCTTGTCTGATTGGCCTTAAAACACAACAAATGTTGCAGCCACGTGAAAAACACGGGCCCCGAGATAACCATGCCAGGGACACGCCATCCAATTCGGAAAAGGACGCAGAACTGCGGAGCCAACAGAACTCGGCCGCGCTCAGTGCTTACCAATGACAATTTCCAAAGTGAAGGGCGTAATGCAAGCGTCACTTGACCTATCGTGACCTGACCTAACCTGACCTTATACAAACGTAAACCTAGCCATGGATGGACACCAACAGTAGCATACTGACAAATACAGCTCGCTGTCAAATGAGGAAACTGGGTGCCTGCAAAACACTTTTTATCTTCACACGCACTGGGGTGTAATTTCCCAAGATATATAAAATCTGACTGTTCAGCTGACCTTAAAGGCCAACTAGCTGGCGTATTTAATGACACTGATGTGCAATGAGGCTTAATAACTAAATGTAGGCGCCACTATCGCAGATAGTGGTGCCTATTGGCATGCGTCCATAGCCATACTGCAAGTGTTCACGTATTTAGAAGCAAACTTGTCCGATTTGAGCTACATGTTTCAAACACAGCTGCAAATCTGATCTTGATGCGCTACCGTAGAGCCCTGCGCCCACATGGCTTCCATATGAATGTAATTGGCTGCCCGATGTGGGGTTGACATGGCTACCATATGCTGGGGAGGATAAATACAACATTTCACATTCAACATGTCAGCATGTCATAGTCAGTACAGAGTGCCGCACTTCAGTTTGCTTGTGAGAGTGGTCGAGATAGTTCCATCATTTCCGTGGCAATTAGATGTCCACAAATTTGCATAATTATCCTAGACCAAAAAGAGGGATGTCAGAATAATTTCGAGGCGTCTGCAATGTACACCACGAAGCTAGCCACCTCCAGCACAAATATTGGTTAAAAATAGAGAGAGTTACAGGTGAAATAGGTTTAATTTTTAGATAGCGCAAACGCTACACGAATTTTCCTCGAGCCTCTAAGGTAGAACAAAATGAACGAGTTAGTACAAATTTTACCTTTTAAGGCGACGACGATGATTTGTAGTTCGGCGCGTCGACGGCAAATAATCATGCAGCGCTTATGAAAAACTACCTACTGCCCGAAGCAGACTCAAATAGGAGTAGTAGCATGTGCGACCAGGCAGACGAACATATATATGTAATACCAGTGGTATTAGATACCTATGGGCAGGGCGATCTCTGTAGAGCATATGAGCGTACCTGACCAAAAGAAACAGAGTTGTCGCTACTAAATTAGGAACTGGCTTAGGTGAAGAGCTGTTCGATAATTAGCAAATGTGAATACATTCAGTTCAGGTACAGATATGTTCAAACCTCTTTTAGGACCTGGTAAATTAAGCGTCAGCAGGGTGTAATTTGCCATATCTTTATTTTTATGACAAAGTAACCAAAGTACTCAAGCCGGCAATCCGTCTCTATTATGCCTAGCGACATGGGAGCAGTAACAGCGCAACTGCGACAGTTATTTTCTGCAGCTTCGGATTTCCGTCACCTGTGTCAATCTAGCAGCAGATTGATATCCAATTGCCAGTTGGATATTGTGGGGCGTCATGATTGCCTCTAAATTTGGTGTGCAGGGCCTTCTCAACACGATGATTCTGAAAATCACTGCCTTTGGGGTGGAATTTAGCGTAATTTTCGAGTTATACGCCGCGTAACATTCCAACGTGATATTGCGGGTCGTCTCGATTGCCTCCAAATTTGGTGTGCAGGGTCTTCTCAACACGCTGATTCCGAAAATCATTGCCTTTGGGGTCGAATTTTGCGTAATTTCCGAGTTATACGCCACGTAACATCCCAATGCGATTTTGCGGGGCGTCTCGATTGCCTCCAAATTTGGTGTGCAGGGCCTTCTCAACACACTGATTCCGAAAATCACTGCCTTTGGGGTGGAATTTTGCGTAATTTTTTAGTTATACGCCGCGTAACATCCCAATGTGATATTGCGGGGCGTCTCGATTGCCTCCAAATTTGGTGAGCAAGGCCTGCTCAGCATGCTGACTCCGAAAATCGCTGCCTTTGGGGTAGAATTTTGCGTAATTCCGAGTTATGCGCCGCGTAACACAACAGTTGGATATTGCGGGGCGTCTCGATTGCCTTGAAATTTGGTGTGCAGGGCCTTCTAAACACGATAATTCCAATAATCACAGCTTTTGGTGTGGAATTTTGCGTAATTTTCGAGTTATACGCCGCGTAACATCCAAATGTGATATTGCGGGGCGCCTCGATTGCCTCAAATTTGGTGTGCAGGGCCTGCTCATCACGCTGATTCCGAAAATCACTGTCTTTGGGATGGAATTTCGCCTAATTTTCGAGTTATTCGTCGCGTAACATCTCAATGTGGTTTTGTGGGGCGCCTCGATTGCCTCCATATTTGGTGTGCAGGGCCTTCTCAACACGCTGATTTAAAAAAGCACTGTCTTTGGGGTGGATTTTTGCGTAATTTCCGAGTTATACGCCGCGTAACACAACAGTTGGATATTGCGGAGTGTCTCGATTGCCTTGAAATTTGGTGTGCAGGGCCTTCTCAACACACTGATTCCGAAAATCACTGCCTTTGGGGTGGGATTTTGCGTAACTTCCGAGTTATACGACGCGTGACACCTCAGTTGCGCTTTGGAATATGTGTCCTGGAATTCGCCTTTGGGCCTGTCCGTATCAGTTCACTGGAGAAGGCCAGTTCGCGACATGTGAGTGATAACCGTGTGGTATGTGATATCATTAACTGGGTGGTATCACCCAGTGGCATCCCTTTCACCTTTGTTCCTTTTCTGACCTTTAAGGTGGCTGAGTAATAGTCCGACGTAGTAACGGGCATTGTTTGTCCTGACCAAAAACTGACAAGATGTCGCTGGTG